AACACATGGAGGCTTAATAGCATGCTATTAAACAATAAATGGGTTATAGAGAAGATCAAGAATAAATTAAAAACTTCCTGGAAACCAATGAAAATGAACACACAACAACACAAAATCTATGGGATGCAGCGAAAGTAGTTCTGAGAGGGATGTTCACAGCACTATAGGCCTACCTCAAGAAACAAGAAAAATTTCTAATAGAGTATCTAACCTCACAACTTAAAGAATTAGAAAGCAAACAAAAAGAAAACCCCAGAACAACTAGAAGGAAGAAAATAGTAAAAATCAGAGCAGAAATAAATGACATAGAGTCCAAAAAAAAAAAAAAAAACAACAATTCCAAGGATCAATGAAACAAAGAGCTGTTTTTTCAAAAAGATAAACAAGATTAATAGACCATTAGCTAGACTCACCAAGAAACAAAGAGAGAGAACCCAAATACCCAAAATCAGAAAGGAAAGAGGAGTAGTAACAAATGACACCGCAGAAATACAAAGTATCGTTAACAACTACTATGAACAATTACATGGCAACAAATTTGACAATCTAAGCAAAATGGACAAATTTCAAGAAACACATAATCTCCCAAAACTGGACCGGAAAGAGATCGAAAATTTGAACAGATCAATAACAACTAAGGAAATTAGTTGTTATTTTCCTTACAGCAAACAAAAGCCCAGGCCCGGATGGCTTCATGGGGTAGTTTTACTGAAAATTCAAAAAAGAACTAACAACAACTCTCCTCAAACTATTTCAAAAAATTCAAGAAGGAAGACTTCCAAACTCGTTTTATGAGGCCAGCGTAATTCTAATTCTAAAATGAGAAAAAGACACTACAAAGAAAGAAAACTACAGGCCAATATCCCTGATGAACATTGACACCAAAATCCTGAACAAAACACTAGCAAATCGGATCCAGCAATATATCAAAAAAATTATTCACCAAGACCAAGTGGGATTCATCCCAGGGATGCAGGGCTGGTACAATATTCACAATCAATAAATGTGATACACCACGTAAACTAAATGAAGAATAGAAACCACATGATCATGTCAATAAATGCTGACATAGCATTCAACAAAATCCAGCATCCATTTCTGATAAAAACGCTCAGCAATGTGGGAAGAGTGGGATCATATCTCGACATAATAAAGGCCATATATGAAAGACCTACCACCAACATCATACTCAGTGGGCAAAAACTAAAAGCATTTCCCTTAAGAACTGGAAAAAAAAGGGATGCCCACTTTTGCCACTCTTATTTAACATAGTACTGGAAGTCTTAGCCACAACAATCAGACAGGAAGTATAAATAAAAGGGATCCAAATTGGAAAGAAGGAAATGAAACTGTCATTATTTGCAGATGACATAATATTATACATAGAAAACCATAAAGACTCCACCAAAAATCTACCTGACTTAATAAATAAATTTGGCAAAGTAGCAAGATACAAAAGTAATGTCAAGAAATCGACGGTATTCTTATACACCAATGATGAACTCACAAAAAGAGAAACTGAAAAATCAATTCCATTTACCATTGCGGCAAAAAAATTAGGATACCTAGGAATAAATTTAACAAAAGAAGTAAAGGACCCATTTGCAGAAAACTACAGGACATTTAAAAGAGAAATAGAGGAAAATGTAAAAAGTGGAAACACATACCTTGTTCATGGATTGGTAGAATTAACATCATTAAAACGTCCATATTACCCAAAGCAATCTATAGATTAAATGCAATCCCCATTAAAATACCAAAGACATATTTCACAGAACTAGAAAAAATACTTCAAAAGTTCATATGGAACCAAGAAAGACCCCGATTAGCCACAGCAATCTTGAAAAAGAAGGAGAAAGTAGGTGGGAACACAATCAGGTTATACTACAAAGCTACTGTAATCAAAACACTCTGGTACTGGCACAGGAACAGGCATATAGTCCATGGAATAGAACAGAGTACCCAGAAATGAAACCAAGACATTATGCTCAATTAATATTTGAAAAAGGTGGCAAGAGCATACAATGGAGTAAACACAGCCTCTTTAATAAATGATGTTGGGAAAATTGGACAGCTACATGCAAAAAAATGAAACTAGACAATAAACTTACACCATACACAAGAATAAACTCAAAATGGATAAAAGTCTTAAATATGACTCATGAATCCATAAAAATCCTAGAAGAAAATATAGGCATCAAAATTCTGGACATCATATGCTGCAGAATTTTCACTGATACATCACCTGAGACAAGAGAAACAAAGGAGACAATGAATACATGGGATGATATCAAACTCAAAAGAAACAACCATCAAAATGGAAAGGCAACCCACTGTATGGGAGAGCATCAATGCTAATGATAACATCAGATAAGGGTTTTTTTAAAAAAATATAGAGTACTCACACAACTCCACATAAGAAAAAGAACCGAATTAAAAAATGGGCAGAGCAGCTGAATAGACACCTCTCCAAACAGGACATACAAATGGCCAAGAGACATGAAGAAATGCTCAACATCACTAATCATCAGAGAGATGCAATTTAAAACAACAATGACGTATCACCTCACACCTGTGAGAATGGCCGCCATCAAGAAATCATCAAACAAGTGTTGGCGAGGGTGTGGAGAAAAGGGGACTTTAGTACTCTGCTGGTGGGAATGCAGACTGGTGCAGCCACTGTGAAAAACAATATGGTGTTACTTCAAAAAAATTAAAAATTGAACTGCTATTTGACCCAGTGATCCCACTTCTAGGAATACACCCTAAGAAGCCTGAAACACCAATCAGAAAGAATATATGTACCCCCACGTTCATAGCAGCACTATTTACAATAGCTAAGATTTGGAAACAGTCCAAGTTTCCATCAGTAGATGAATGTATAAAAAAGCTGTGATACAGATACACAGTGGAGTACTATGCAGCTGTAAGAAAGAAAGATCTTTTATCCTTTTAGATGACATGGACGAACCGGGAAAGCATTATCTTAAGCAAAACAAGCCAGAAGAAAAAGACAAATACCACATGATCTTACTTAGTTGTGGAATAAAATGAACATAACAGTCTGAGGAATAGGGTAGACCCAGAGAAATGGAAGTAGGGTACAGACTGACAACCCTCAGAAGAGGGTGTTGTGGGGAGAAGGAAGAGATAAACCACATAACTTATATGCATGTACGCATAAGTAATGGACATGGACAACAAAGCCGGGTGCAGGGTGAGGGTAATGGGGAGGGTTTCAATGGGGTAAAAAAGGAGAAACATCTGTAAGAAAAATAAAATTTAAAAACAAACAAACAAACAATAAAAAACCTTGCCACTTATCCCATTTCCCTATTGTTGTAACTTAGGTTCTTTTAAATATTTACTATTAGAAATAACATTACAATAAAAATCTTTGTTTAAAAAAAAGTCTTAGAAGTTTTAAAGTATTAGAAGTTAAATTTTCTTATTTGCTGGGAATTTAAAAACATTTAACTTATACATGTGGTTATTGTCTCTGTGAGATAATCAGAACAGTGCTCCTTTAGTTTAATTTAAAATCTTCCTGACATAGAAAAATATTTCAGAGATACAATAAGAGGTAAAGGTCTTACTGAATTACAGAGTATTTTGAAATATTTTTGTCTTGTATTCCAATAAATAGTTGATTACTCTTATTGGGCAGAATATATGATTATGTTTATTATTTTACCAGTATCTTTTGATATTTACTGTTATAATGAAACTATCGTTTCACTGCACCATTAATTTGTGAAATTCATTATCAAGGGAGAGGTAGCAGCAGCATATCACTCTTCAGAAATACAATTACCCAAGCTACAAGATTTACAGGTAAAAAGAGTTTTTTTTCAGCCTATGGTGTAGGCCTAATTCAACTTCAATTCTTTTTCTCTTTAAAATAGTTTCTTCTGACAGATTCTCTTCTGTATATAACCAGGTAGGACAAAGTATAAATATGAGCTAAAATGAGATTTTAAGTTGGAAACACAGAAATCATTAGAACCAGACACACTGGGAATGATCTTAATAATAGTGGTAGGAGAAAGGAGTCTTGAGAAATCACCTCTCCTGTACTTGACTGCCGAATTGTAATTTATCTGTGGTCGTATTCATGCTAGTGCATAATTGTACATTTCACAATTTAAATTTACCATATTTCACATTTTAAATAGATTAGTGGGTGGGTTCAATGCTTTATAGATGTAAGCCTGGGGCCTTAACACCTCTATTTTACATGGAATGTTTCCTTATGGAGGTAATTGTTTTGCTGCAGCTTCCAGAGACCTCATAGACCTCTGCTTCCAGGAAAACACAGTTGCAATAGCATATAGTAATGAGTGATTTAAAGGCACTTTTTATTTCACAGGTCCTCAACAGACTCTAAGTAAAACCATAGCTCATATGTACATGCCTTGGCAAAACATGATAGAAAATTAAAAATCCCAAACTTCTGTACCATTAAGATTTGTGGTACCTAAACAATGAAATCAAACACAACTCCTAGGATAGGGTGCGAGGTTTCACAATTATAATTAGTATTATGTAAAAATACTTTTTCTTGATTGATTTTAGAGGAAGGGAAAGGGAGGTAGAAACATGGAGGAGAGAGAACATCAACAGGCCGCCTCCCGCAGGCCCTCCCCCCGCCCCACCGAGGATCTGGCCCACAACCGGGGCATGTGACCCCACAAGGAACCGAACCAGCGACCTCCTGGTGCTTGGGTCCACGCTGACACCCGCCGGGCTCATTATTATTTTAACCACTACTTTTGAAAAAAAACAAAAACACTTAAACCTGTTATTTCCCTCGCCCGTGAACTACACGCGAAAGGCTTCCAAAGGTGGTGGCTGACACATCAGCCCTTAAGTAGTCTTTGGCTCACCGCCCCCCTCATAGGGCAACACAAACCGCAGCACATTGGCGTCCTAAGCCAACTTCCGCCTCCCCCATTGAACGCGCAGCCGCTGCCCACGTGACTTCCGTTCGTCACATCCGGTCCTTGCGATTCTGGCCTAAGAACCCTCGCGATGAAGTGCGTGTTTGTTACTGTGGGGACCACCAGCTTTGACGACCTCATTGCTTGTGTATTGGCGCGCGACTGTCTGCAAGTGAGTGAAGGAGGGTGGCACGCGGGCTCGCCGCTGCCATCCGCGGTAATTTTGCCCGACAGCCGCGCTAGGAAAGAACCCCTTGAACACGACTGCAGGTGCCGCCACCCCTTTGCGGGCTTTTTCCTGAGCCCCAGCGGTACGCCTCTTCCCGCTTCCCAGCCGCCTTCCCGGGCCGCTCCTCCCCATATTTTCTCTGGCTCCTCCTCGCTCTGGCTTTTCTCAGATTCCCCGCCTTTGCCTCTCTGTTCTCCTGTTTGGCCCCTCCTAGCGGCTCCGCCTCTAGGCTACAGGCCCTCCTCGCCAGCTTCTCCTGCCGCTGTGGGCCATGCGGTCGCGCGGGACACCTGGGCTCCCGTGCTCCCTCCGCCAGGCCCGATTCTGACTCGATTCTACCGGCTGGACCCAGCTAGTCCCATTCCGCTCGCCTCCCTGGCCCTGCCCCCGCCGCGCTCCGGCAGACCTGCCCTTCCGTCTCCGGCGCCCTCGCCGCCTTTGGGCAGTTTGAGGTGGCGCGGCGTCTCCTCTGGGCTTGTTTGCGCAGCCAGATTTTGGAGGCAGAACGAAGGTCTTAGTTGGTCTTCGGCCGAGTTTTAGGCGCCTGTTTTCAGAATCTTTGCCGGGTCTCAGATTTCTTGTGGCGCGAGTTCCTCAACCACTCCGTGAGCGGGGTCGCTGAGATCCATTAGGGCATACCTTGTTAGGGCCCAGGAAAACTACGAGAAATCGGTTCCATTTACACTATTTGGCAGCCCATGCTCCTATCTGAACACTGACTTAGGGATTTGTTGTTACTACTATTTTTACAGTAACTGTTCAAAAGTCCCGCTTTTTCTTTTCTGCCTCTCTTCAGACCATCAAGAGCCTTGGTTACAACCGACTCGTCCTACAAATAGGCAGAGGAAAGGTCGTACCTGAACCATTCAGTACTGAGTCATTTACTCTGGATGTTTACAGGTACAAGGATTCATTGAAAGAAGACCTTGAGAAAGCAGATCTTGTTATTAGTCACGCAGGTAAAGTGCCTTAGAATTTTAGCGGTAAGAACATTTGAACCATTTGGAGGTAAATTAAGTCATTAGAGTAACTCACTGCAGCCCTTTTGAATATACTGTTATTTCAACATAACAATTGAGAATATTATTGGACAGAATTTGCTATTTCTGGGTGGTAGAATGATGGGAAATTAATCACCATAGCCCAACTTTACAGTAAGAAACTCTAAACACGGGGGCAAAATAATTTACCCAGTGACATGTGTAAAGAGTTGTCAATTGAAGTTAGTATTTGGGCTTAGATCTGCAGTAATGTTAAGCCATCTAATTGGTTGAATTAGTCGTGGAGAAATTGACTTTAAAAAATGTTATATATTTCTATTAAATATGAATGTGAAATAAGTGAAAACTATTCTATAACAACTACATATCATTGCCTCTTTCTCAGAGAACCATTCTGATCTACTTAACTGTACCTTCAGAAGAACTGTTTTTGGGGAGCATTGTAACTTTGACTGCTGGATAACTGAGGGAGGAAGTTTTGTGATTCTTATAAAGCCTAGTTTGGAGAGAGAAAAGTTACTATAAGTAGACATCACTAACAAATTGGTAATTAGAAATGGGTAATAGCTAACAGCTAACAGCTTTTTGTACTGTTATACCTGCTATGTGTGTATAACTGATTGAATCCTCCCAGACAATCCTATGAACTAAGTACTATTAATTAGTGTCTCCATTTTGCAGATGTAGAAACTGAGACACAGAGGTTAAGTAACATTTCCAGTTAGTAAGTGATAGACAGATAATAGTCTGGTGCTGGGTTCTGTGTTCCCACTACTACCATAGTATTATTTACCCATAAACGATTTATTTACTCATTTATCAGTCTTCTCGCTCCCATATAAAATATCAAATGATTTTAGATTTTAAAGTTGAATTCATCCAGATATTGTGTATATGCAAATTTGTGGAGATTATTTTCAGGATGGTACCTCGCAGGCAGGCTCATAAGGAGTGGTCAGAGTTTTTCCTTATTGGTGCCTGTCACTATTGAAGGCTTGCTTTTTCTATTTTTTTTAGTAGATGTACAGTACAGTTTTATGTACAGTATGTTGAACCTGAATTTTATTTGGGTTTGAGACCTATGCCCAGAGAATCCTTCTAGAGCAGTAGTTCTCAACCTTCCTAATGCTGCGACCCTTTAATACAGTTCCTCATGTTGTATGTGAGAGTATCTGCATGTGAGCGGACCCGCCTGGAGATGGATAGAGGAGCGGTGTCTTGGTTCCTAAGACCATCGGAAATATGTGTTTTGTGATGGTCTTAGGCGACCCCTGTCGTTGGACCCCCAAAGGGGTTGTGACCCACAGGTTGAGAACCGCTGTTCTAGAGGATTCTACAAGTGGCAAAGCACTTATACTTTGTTGTCAGTGTCAAAAAAAGTATTTTTCAAGTTAGGTTTATAACATGTACTAGAGAGCAACTGTAACTATACTTTTAGTATTTTGAATGTATAATTTAAAATCCTGGTTTGTAGTTCTGCCAACTAAGTTTTTCATGTTTTGAGTTCTACCACAAAACTTGGTGGGACACTAACTTTTCATTTTTTATTAAAAAAATTTTTTTTCTTCATTGATTTTTAGAGAGAGAGGAAGGGAGAGGGAGAGAGAGATAGAAACATTGATGAGAGAGAACATCGATTGGTCGCCTCTAGCATGCCCCCCAACTAGGGATTTGGCCCACAACCTGGGCATGGGAACACTAACTTTATTTATTTATTTATTTATTTATTTATTTATTTTTTTATCCTCACCTGAGGACGTTTTTCCATTTTTTGTTCAGATAGAGTGGGAGGGAGAGAGGAAGAGAGAGAGACAAACATCAATGTGAAGGGGACACATCGAGTAGCTGCCTCCCACATGACCCAACCACGGCCATGGACAAACTGCAGCCAAGGTAGGTGCCCTTAGTGGGAACCGAACCTGGGTCTCTCTGGACCGCAGGCCGACGCTCTAACTGCTGAGCCAAACCGGCCAGGGCAACACTAACTTAAAAAAAAAATTAAATTTATTGGGATGACATTGGTTAATAGGATCATATAGGTTTCAAGTGTATAGTTCTAGGATACATGATTTGTATATTACATTCGGTACCTACCACCCAAAGTCAAATCTTCCATCACCATATATTTGGCCCCCATTAATTACCCTACTACTTCTACTCCCACCCCCTTCCCTCTGATAACTACCATACTGTTGTCTGTGTCTGAGTTTCTGTTTTATATCCCACATATGAGTGAAATCTTACAGTTCTTAGCTTTTTCTGACGGACTTATTTTGCTTAGTATAATATTCTCAAGGTCTATCTATGTTGTCGCAAATGGCAGTATTTTATCTTATGACTGAGTAGTATTCCATGCTATATATGTACCACATCTTTATCCAATCCTCTATCTAATAACACTTCAGTTGTCTCCATTTCTTAGCCACTGAGAATAATGCTGCAGTGAACATAGGGGTGTATATATCTTTGTGAATAAATGTTTTCGAGTTTTTTGGGTAGATACTCAGAAGAGGGATTGCTGGGTCATATGATAACTCTATTCTTAATTTTTGGAGGAACTGCCATACTGTTTTCCATAGTGGCTATGCCAGTTTATATTGCCACCAGCAGTGAATGAGGGTTTCTTTTTCTCCACAACCTCTCCAACACTTGTTATTACCTGTCTTGTTGATAACAGCCATTCTAACAGGTGTAAGGTGGTATCTCACTGTAGCTTGATTTGCATTTCCCTAATAGCTAATAAAGTTGAACATCTTTTTATATACCTGTTGGTTTAACTTAAAAAAAAACTTTATTAACAAATTTGATGTTTTTTTGTAGGTGCAGGAAGCTGTTTGGAGACTCTGGAAAAAAGAAAGCCTCTTGTAGTGGTTATAAATGAAAAATTGATGAATAATCATCAGCTGGAATTGGCAAAGCAGCTGCACAAAGACGGGCATCTCTTCTACTGTACCTGCAGGTATACTAGAGACTGATTATTTGACCTCTTGATTCCTCCCTAGCTATTCTTACCCACCTACTTATACCATTTGTCTCTTCTACCTCTTACTTTCTCCCATGTATTAAACATTCTTTGATTTTTCTCACCTGTTGAACCCTCCCATTTGTTTGTCTTTCACTCTGATTGTGATCTATGCCTGTATCATGTAAATATCTGAGTGTGTGTGTGCATGTAATGTATGTCCATTTGGGTGCCTAAATCTCTGAGAATATAATTTTTTAATTCATTATTTAGATTTCCACTATTCAAGGAAGGTATTTGCTTATTTTTAATTCTGGTGTTGTGTTCAGTAAATCCACTGGAATCTCTAAATTTTCTCATTCATTAATTCAAGTATACCTAATACATGGCAGGCATTGTTTTAGTTACTGTGTATACAGTGGTAAACATGAGAAAAGTCCCATGGTGCTTGTGTTCTAGTGGTGGGACATAGTAAACAGTTCATAAGTACACAACAATTTTCACATGGTGAAATGTATTATGAAGAAAATAAGGCAGGGTCATGTGATAGCTTGTTTGAAGATTAATTAGATAAGATGGTTAGGGAAGGCATGACGGTATATGACATCTGAACTGAGACCTGAATAAAAAGGAAGAGCCAGTCACATGAACCTCTAGAGCCAGAAGGAATAGCAGCAGTTTCAGAGGCCCTAAGTTAGGAATGAGCTTTGAGTTTGGTGTGTTTGAGCAAAAGAGGGATGGTTAGTGTGGCAGGAGTATAGTGAGCAGGGAGAACGTAGTATAAGATGATGCTGGGCCAGGATACTCGTGTAAGAATTCTGATTTTATTCTGTGTCTAGTGAGAAGTCACTGGAGTATTTTAAGGAAGGAAATTACTTTATAGTAAGGAGTATTATTTTCTAGAAGTACATTAGAATTCAACAGGAACTGATCAACATCACAATAGAAGGATGAAGAAAATTGCTGCTTTGTTTTCTATTAACTCTTCTTGAGACACTAGAAGCTTGCCAAAGGGTCAGGTCAGTAATTTCCAATTATTTGACTTGAAGAGCTATCCTAATTTGATGTTTTAAAAAGCAAATACCTGATAAAAGTATTGCAAAATACATATAGGGGTAGGCAAAATTAGGTTTATAGTTGTAATACAAAAAGTAATACAATAATTAATAATAATACAAGGATATACTCTTTTGCATACTCACAACTGTAAACCTACTTTTCCCCATCCTGTATTTTTATGCTATAATAAATTGAAGTCGATTTGAAAATAAAAAATAAACTTTAGAAGAAACAGGTTAGAATGTAGTAAGCTTTTCTTTTAACTTTACTGTGTCTGTCTCTTAGGCATTCAGTAAATACTTGTTCATTCATTAAATATTTATTGCGTACCTACTGTATGCCTGGCATTATTCTAGGTACTAAGCATTCTTCAGTAAACAAAACAGATTCCTGCTCTCATTGAGAGGAGACAGATTCATTGATTGTTTCAGGAGAAAATGTTGATGTCCTAATCCCTATAATGATGGAGGAGAGGGAATATCAGGGTGGCTTTGTAATATAGAAGCCATTCTTTAAAGTATTGTAAGTCAGGGAGAGTCTAGATAATGAAAATTATGTGGGCCTCAGATAATGGGCCTATCTGTCCTTGGGTAGTTGACATTGTTGGGGGTTACAGTCATTTTTATAAGAGGAATAAACTCTAATCTTCTTGTTTTATGAAAGTCAGTTTTTCCAGACATTTTCGATGAGTATTTTCATTTTAAATGTTAAATCAGCTTTGATTTTATGTCAGTACATCCAAAAAGGGAAAACACTGATTTCATAAACACATCCTGACTATTCAGGCTGAAAAGGAAGCTGCACAAGTCCTTAACATTAATTTATTAAAGTTTTAGAAGTCTTTTTTTCTTACATTAATTTCAAGAAAGTCATACTCATGAATGCCATAAGAATCAATAATTGGTTGTATTTTCATCATAGGTATATTACTTATTTGCCTCAAATCTAAGCTAGGTGGTTATATGTTCTAATGTAAGTGGCTAGTTTAATTATATTCCTGAAGTAATAGTTTTATATTGTGGTTTGGAACCTTATTTCCAACATGCATGGTGATTGTACATTGCTTAATTTACATCGGATTTATGATAGTAAATTACCAGCAAAAAAAGTTATTTCACAATCTTCATGCATGGTGTAGGAGTCTCCCCAGCTTATTGTTGTCTGGCAGTTTTTATTTTTGGTTTCATTTATTCTTTTCATAAATTAATTTTGCTTTGATTTATATCTGCCCAGTCTTGAGAAGTGTTTCAAAGCCATGTGACCACATCTCTCATGAAATAACATTTCTGAAATATTTCAGTTGACATAAGAAATAAAGTATCTTTTGAATTGATACATGTAGTGCTCTTTGTATTGCTTTAATCTACATGTATATATATTTATAATACTAAAACACATTAAAACTTACATGTATAGTTTGAGAAACTTCACTGTATTCTTGGAAGTTATATCCATTCATCAAATGGGAAGCAGATAAATTCTGGAATTTTCTCCCATGTTACCTAATATTTTTCTTCTTTTGTTTTAGCACGCTTCCTGGGCTGTTACAGTCAATGGACTTATCAACACTGAAATGTTTTCCTCCTGGCCAGCCAGAAAAATTTTCTGCATTTTTGGATAAAGTTGTTGGATTACAAAAATAAATACTAAACTCTCAACACTTTAAAAACATCCCCCCAAATCCAACCTATGGAATGTGGTTTAATCAAATTAAATACATAATGTATATTTGCAGAGTAATATAAATTGATAAACTTCTTACATCTATAGAATGTTAGAAAATTTTATGATGTGAATATAAACATTTGGGTTCAAATAATAATTACAGTTTAGTAAATTTATTAGATTTCTCCCCTTATCTTTCTTTTTTAGTATTAGAAGTATGTAGTGAACATTTACAGGTTTTATCCTGGAATCCCAAGTGGAATTGGAATCTTGAATTAAATTTGAAAACTTTGACAAGAATCTCAAACCTAGTTAGTTTGATTTTTCTTAGAGTAAGAATGAAACAGGAACAAATTTGTAAAAAGAAAATTTGAGAGTCAGCATCTTTAGCTTCATAATCCAAGGAACCAAATTTTAAAAAACAAAAATAGTGGATTATGTTCTGTGAAATAAAAAGCTCAATGATTACTTTAAAATGATGAACTGTCAAGTCAGTTGATCCACTGCACTTGGAGAAACAGAAACTACTTTTATCCTGAAGATTAGATTGGAGTGGATGTGTTCACTTTTTTCCTGTAAAATATAGTGACAAAATAATCTTGCCCAATGTCAGAACTTTACTGGTTTGAACAGAGTAAACCAAAAGGACTTAAGCCAATAGGATTTGCTGTTTTTCTAAAGAAACCTCTCACAGTGGTATTGAAACATTTACTGTAACATCATAGAAGAACTTGTAATTTATGTACTTCTTAGTTTTACAAATAAATGATGTGTGTGGCCTAAATATATGGTTTTACAATTCACATAACTCATAGTGTGGGGCAAAAGTAGGTTTACAGTTGTGAGTATGGGAGTTTATTTTTGTATTTATTATTGTTTTTCATATAAACAACTGTAAACCAACTTTTGCCCACCCTATATTAGGAAATTATGATTAGCATAAGTGGTTTCAAGACCTATAAAATAAATTTGATTTTTCTTAAGAGTTTATAGTTTTCTGGTAGAAAGTTTAGATAGAGTTCATCTGTGAAAATAGAACATTCACTGGAAATACCTGCTTTCCATTACACTATCCCAAAATGTTGAATACTCTAAATATTTTGTGTGAGATACATTATATAATATTTCTGTATATTTATTTTCCTGATTGTGTTTTACTTAGGCTAATATTAAAGTAAATTCTTAGTAATGGCAGGAGGTGGTAGCTGAGAAGTACTCTGGGTAGCAGGAAGAAACCAAGTTGGATTAAAATTTTGCTGAGGATAAACTAAAAAAAGTAATCTACATAGTTGAGAATTCACAGCACCATAATCAAAACTGTACATTAATACTAAAGTTGTAGTTTAAGCCCTATTGAAATCCATGGAGAGAATTTGACTTTTCTGGGCTCTTTTTCTAAATGTGTTTCTCTAATTTGAGAAAATCTGTGGCTTAAAATTTATGTTGATCACTCAGTCTTTCGTTATTTTATGTCAAGAAGGACTAACCATAGAGATTCAGAAACAAATGAAAGGGTCTACTCAAACTTCAGAGAACTAAAAAGCAATATAGAACCCCAAATCCCATGCTTCTTTCCCACTAGAATACAAAAGCCAGATTCTATTATTTCATTTAGCAGAGACTTAAGCCAATGGTGTCAACTGTGTGTAGTGACATCTTTTGACTATACCTTTATGAAATGGGATTAAAAATCAAAGGATAAGATAATTTTTTAAAAAAATCAAAGATATCTTAGAATCATTTTGATTTGACAGGAATCCGCAAGATCATCTAGTCCAATCCCATAATTTCGCAGATGAAAAAGAAGTTCCAGAGGTGAGGACTTGTCTGAAATGATAGCCTTGGGCAGAGCTGCCACTAGAAGCAGCTCCTTGACTCCCAGTCCTGTGCTCTTTTTCTACCATACGATAACATATATTGTAAGCTTTTTCTTTATATTTGTTTGACTAGTATTTCCTTTAGTTACTTTAATCCCTCCCAAGGAAAGTTTTATTCATTTCCAGAAGCTGTTTAATTACTTTATTTTACTAGGAATTTCACACTTTTTGAGTTTTCCTTTGATTTTTGACAACCTTAATTCAGACTTAGAAACCTGTGATTCCTGAGTTTTTAGAATCTAAATGTCATAGGTAGAATTGATAACACATTGAATGAAGACTAAAAGAATTGTAGATTTTTGGAGTCGGAAGAGTATTTTAGTGAAACTCATTTTACAGATGAGGAAAGAAGCTAAGATAAATTCATTGCCACGTTTACATCTTATTCTTATGAAAAAATGAAGAATAATCAAAATTCTATTAAAATATTTGCTCGAAAAAGTAAAATTTGTTTTTTTTTACATAGCAGGGATTCAGGTTCTTGAAATTACTGAGTAAGTGGAATGCAATTTTTTGAGCAGTTCTCTGTTAGAAGTATTTGGATTTCTAAGAATAACGAAGCAAAAGAGAAAGTTTAGTACTTTGAGAAATTCACATTGTGCATAGGTTCACAAGTAGACAACAGAAATTTGTTAATTTGAGTAGATCAAAAATGTGAGGAAGGGGATGACCTTGGGAAGTAAGGATTTTTAGATTACTGTGTGCTTATAATCTGGGAGAAAAGATAAGAGCTAGAAGTATTTGGTGATAGGTAAGAGTACAACTGATGAACTTGATGTGGGGTTCTGGAACATTTAAAAGTCATCTGAAAGTACTGTCAGGTGTCTGATTTTAGATAACCTTAGAGCACTTTTTTGTGTGCTTTTAAAAGCAAATATAGGCACAAAGGGCAATATAAAAATTTGTACTGCTTATTTGGTAGTTTGGGAAAATTTTCCAAGACTGAAAATTAGGAATGACTAGCAGTAATGTAAATATTTTCTTGGCCCTTTATTACGGTCTAAGCATTTAATCCCTCTGATTTGTCCAAAATATAAAATTTTCAGAGATAATGAAAAATCTGCATATAGTCTAAGAAATGAGATGTATAGGAAGATTATTTGAAGTTGATTTTGGGGAAAGATTTGGAATTGGTGGTCCTGATAGCTATGCACTAATTGATTTTCTGCTGTACAGTTAGTATACATTTTTATGGGGGCATGCGGAATTATAAGAACAGTTAACACCTGTTGCATTCTGAACACATTGTTGACCGGCAATTTTACACAGAAGTTAACTCATGTCACCGGCTATTTTTTTGTAATTGCCTATGAAAGTGAAACAATAGAAATAAACTTCAGTATACTTTATTTATACATAATGAATTTAAATGAAACTTTGTACAGATCTGCTACATATTATATTTTATACATATATATTTTAGTAATTTTTTTGGTGTGGTATACTGTATAGCAGTCACCTTTTGAAACACACACTTTACACGTTCTAGTTGGATTTTTTTTATACCAGTGACCATTATTTCTAAAACGTGGTCTTTTAGTTGCCCTGAAAGCTTAAAAGGTGAATCAATGTAAGGAGTTCTTTTAGTAGTACCAGAAGCAGTGTTAGGTTCTGAGCTGCACTCATTTGAACCAGCAGATATCCATTCCCTACCTACTTCAAGAATATAGAACCGTGTGCTGTTTTTCGAACCCTCAGGGCGAAGAGTCACAAATACAATAATCCTGTATTTCCCTGAGTTTCAAAAATTGAAATAGCTAATGCAAGTGCAAACACGAGTTAATTCGTGAGCCATCAGCAATGTTTGGGCAGGAAAACACAAGTTAACTCGCGAGCGGTCAACAATGTGTATATATCAGGTACTATTCAAAACACTTTGTAAGTGTGAACTCATTTCACCTTTACAGTCACCCTATGAAATAGGTGCTGTTACTGTCTCGTTTTGCAACTGAGGAAACTGGGCCCAGAGCATAGTGTAACAAAGGACTTTTATGCTACTTTAGCTTCCAAAAGATGGTCAGGGAATTGTAATTGGAACACTAAATTCCAGTGTATTTCCATCATTTATGGGAACAGGAAGACAAAATATTTGAAATTGGGAATGTTCCAAGAAATTTAGATTATATGGTAGCCTACAGGTATATAACCGTTTTCAGTTTTTATGTTGCTATTTAAAAGCATACTGATTTCTACTCATAAAATCTATGTAGTTAATTATAAAGTTAAAGCACATCATTTTCCTGACAGGTCATATAATTATTTTAAGTTATTTTTTTTCTTCAATTTGTTTTATTTTAATCGGTGTCTAGAGTACAATGCCTAAAAAGTCTTTAAGGCAGTCATTTTTATCCCCATTATTTTCTAATGTTGAATGGAGAAATTCCATCAGGGTTGGGGAAAATTTTTTTGTGGAGCTATATTTGAGCTTTGATTTGATTTCCAGTAGAATTTAGGTGAAATTGTTTGGTTCTTATCTCTTTTTTGACCAAAGAATTTCTTAATGAACTGATTTACTTGGCAGTTAACATTAGTCAATACTTAAATAAGCATTTATTACACACTTGATTTTCAGTGTCTTATGTAATTATCCCAACAAGGTCACAAAAATTTCTAGAGCAACATTTCTCAAACTTTGAAACAATTTAAAAGCAAAAGCTATAGTGCATTAAACACCATTAGTAACTTGAATGGATTAAGTTACTGGCTTAACTTTAACCTGGCTTTTTCCAAACCTTTTTTACTCATGGGAAAGGCCAGGTCAAAGTCAAGCAAATAACTTTAGCATTCTTAGATCCTTTGATATTGCTAATGGGCATGACGAACCTCAAAGATAGGATTGTAGTATGCAGTGGTGCTGAAATTTTGGCCTTGAAACTCATTTTAACAACACTTAACTAATAACTTGTGGAACACATAGTTCTAGAGCACTGGTATTCAAAAGTGTGGTCCTGGACCAGGAGCATCAGCAACACTAAAAACTTGTTAGAAATGTAATTCTTGGGACCCAACCCAGACCTGAAACAGAATCTCTGACTGTGGGGTAATCTGTGTTTTATCAAGCCCTTTATTTGAGAACCACTGTTCTAGAGGTTTATAGAATTAGTTTGCCATGGGAGAATAGTCAGCTAATTGGGATTTCGGGTGCAATAGATATTTCAAAGGACATTATTAAATAAATTCCTATTGTACTAATTTGGGGAACAACCTGTACTTAATCACCTCTGAGCCTTTGTTCACCTTTTCTTTGGTATCCAATTCATCTTTATGATAATTGTGTGACAATATATAGTTCTAGCCCTAGTAATATTACTGAATGGAAGTAAAAACTTGGACAAGTCATAATTATTTGAAACTCAATTTTTTCATCTGTAAAATAAGAGATCCCTTGTAGCTATAAAATGCTACTTATTTTTTCAGTTATTTTGCTGTTCTGTTTTTTGCATACTGAAGAATTTTTACATTTTTTATTTCTTAAACTAATACATGTAAATAATATAAAATATTAACTAGTTTTAAAAGGCTGATAACAAGAAACAGCAGTTTTATGTCCCACTCCATGTCTGATCCTACTTCCTATAGGTGACCATATTATGCTATTTGAATGTTTTACAACTGATATATTCAAATTTGTTTTTGTTTTTTTAATTTTAAATATTTATAGACTTTCTACTGGGGAAGAAGAGGCTTTGTCTCTCTCCCTTCCACAGTAGAAAGTTTAAAGATGATATTTAAATTAAAAAAACAAAAACAAATTTAGTTTATTAGTTCCTATGGGATGTTTTCAGTATTGCCATTATTACAATTACTTAAGTAAAATATTGATTACATCTGAGCCATATAGTATGTGTTCATTGATTACATTTCCTTTTCTGTAAAACTCTTTTACCTCGCTTTTGTTTACTTGCTCAGTTTTCTGTAGAAACATCCTCAAATTCTCCCACAGAGGTATATATCCTATTATGTCTAAACACATTAGGTTATTTATACCTTACATTACTTATTTTTACAAGGTGTTTTTGAAATGTCTGCACTGGAGTTTTTTGTCCGTTTGAAATGTCTGCACTGGAGTTTTCCGTCCTTCTACCTGAACTGGTTGTTTTCTCTTTAGTCCTCCTAAATGTTTGTCCTGGGAGTTCCCCTTCATCCTTATCATGGAAATTCCTTTGCCTCTCTCTTGTGTTGACTCTTCTGTTTTCAGGACACTATGTGCCCTTCTACTTTTTTTTTGTATTTTTTAATTTTGGTTTCAAATATTTCTTCAGTAGCTTTCTGAGAAAATATACTAAATTATTTTATTCGTTCATGTTTCAAAACTCCTACTCTCCTATATGATTGATAGCATGATACGGAATTCAAGATTGGAAATACTTTTCCTTCATGTATTGAACTTTATTGTTTTCTAGTTTCTAGTTCTATTGAGAAGTTTATTGCTATGCATTTGTCTGATTTTTTTTATGTGACCTTTTTTTCCCTCTGTGAAAACTTTTCTTTATCCCCTGACTTTAGAATTGTTTTGTGCATTGCTGGTCATCTTTTTTTGCTTTCACTGTTCTGGGTACTTCATGGACCCTTTCAATCTAAATATAGATATCATATCCTGCAGTGCTAGAAGTTTCCTTATATCATCATCACTACCATCATTTCTTTATCTCTTGAGCCTCCTGTTGGTTAGTGTTGGCTTTCCTGGATTGATCCTCTAATTTGCTTGTTTTTAATCTCCAATCTTATCTGTTCTGTGAGCTTCTCAACTCTAAATTCTATTACTTCTACTGCTTTTTGTTTTATTTTAAAATTTAAATACAGCAAAATTAGCGTTATTTTGTACAGTTCTATAAGTTTTGACAAATGCATAATCATTCATAATCATGTAACCACTATCACAATCAAAATAGAGAACACTTCTGACACCCCCCTACATCCCTTGTGCCATACCTTTGTAGTTAACCCTTCTCTGCAACCCTAACTACTGGCAGCAACTTACTGTTTTCCCTTCCTATAGTTTTGCCTTTTCAGTATGACATATAAATACAGTCGTACAGTATGTAGCCACTGAATCTGTCTTCTTTCACTTAACACAATACATTTGAGATTCGTCCATGTTCTGTATCTATCAGTACTTCATTTTGTTTTTATTGCTGAGGAGTATTCTGTGATATAGATGTACCACAGTTTGTTCAGCAGTTGAAGGGTGTTTGGATTGTTTTCAGTTTTAGGTGAATCATGATTATGATAAAAGTTGCTGTGCACATTTATGTACAGGTTTTTGTATGAACTTAAATTTTCATTTCTTTTGGAAAGATACCCCAAAACGGATTGCTGTGTTTATAAGAAACTGCTAAACTATTTTTCCAAAGTGGCTTTACTATTTTATATTCCCACCAGCAACATATGAGAGTTCCAGTTGCTCTTCATCCTTGTCAACACTTGGTATTGTCAGTTTAAAAAAAGTTAGTTATTTTAAGATGTATGTAGTGGTATTTCATTAAAGTACAAATGGCCAATAGGCACATGAAAAAGATGCTCAACATTATTAGCCATCAGGGAAATGCAAAACAACCACAGAGAGATACCAATTCACTCCCACCAGGATGGCTATAATCAAGAGATGGAGAGTAAGTATTGATAGCATATGGAGAAATGGGAACCCTTATACACTACTGATGAGAATGTAAAATGGTGCAGTTACTATGGAAAATGGTCTGACAAGTCCTCAAACAGTTAAACATCATTTACCATATGATCCAACAACTGCATTCTCTGGTATTACCCAATAGTATAGAAACTATGTTCAAACAAAAACCTGCATGTGAATGTTTATTAACAGCATTGACCATAGTAGCCCAAAAGTGGAAACAATCCAAATATTCATCAACTGAAGAATGGGTTAGTAAAATATAGTTTAACTATACAAAGACTTGAAATACTGATTGATACATGCTACAACATGGCTGAATCTTGAAAACTTCATGTTAAGTGAGGGAAATCTGTTACACATAACTATATATTGTACAATTTTATTTAGTTGAATTGTCCAGAATAGGCAAATATTATATAGAGACAGAAAGTAGATTAGTGGTTGCCTTGATTTGGTGGATTTTGGTGATGAATCCACAATCAATTGAAATGTTCATTAAAGCTGTTTAATAATCAACAGTTTTTAAGTGTACAATTCAATCATTTTTAGTGAATATACAGACATTGTTCAAACATCACAGGTCAATTTTAGAACACCTTTGTCACACCAGAAAGATCCTTTGTACCTGTTTACAGTTAAGACGTATTCCCACCCCAACGCTAGGCAACTATTAACCTCTATAGATTTGCCTTTATGGTATATCATATAAATGGAGTCATGTATCTTTTGGAATAGTACTCTTTTTGTGTCTGGCTTCTTTTACTTAGGTTCCAGTTTCCACATTTTTTGCTAATACTTGTTATTGACTTTTTTATTATAGCCATCCTTAGTAGGTGTGTAGTGATATTTCATTGTGGTTGGAATTTGCATTTTTCTAATGACTAATGATGTTGAACATCTTTTAAAAAATTTTTGACGTTCAATATTTTATATTAGTTTCAGGTGTACAGCATAGTGGTTGAACATCTTTTATGTGCTCATTAACTATTATATCTTTGAAACGTGTAGATAACCTTTTGCCCATTTTTAAATTGTATTGTTTTCTTACAGTTGACTTTTGAGAGTTCTTCATATATTTCTATAAAAAGGTTTGTTTGTTTTTTGTCAGATATGAGATAATACACATTTTCTTTCAGTCTGGCTTGTATTATATTTCTTCTAACAGTGTATCTGCAGAGCAACAGTTTTTAATTTTGGTAAATTTCAATTACTTTTTTTTCTTATATTACATCTAAGAACTCTTTGCCTATGCTTTCTTCTAAAAGTTTTGAAGTTTTGGTCTACATTTGTGTCTTTGATCTATTTTGAATTAATTACTGTACAAGACGTGAGGTATAGGTTAAGGATCATTTTTTTCTTTTGCATATGGCTGGTAATTGTTCTAGCATCATTTGATGAAAATACTGTTTTTCTCTTTTGAACTGCCATTGTACCTTCTGTCAAAAATCAATTTACCATATTTGTGTGAGTCTCATATGCTCTCTGTGTTACCTTCCCTTTCCTCTATCTCTTTTTGTCTTCCTGTCTTAATTTTTCTTCATATCCCATTCTTCTATTTTTGATTCTCCCTCTTCTCCCAGTTTTTCCTTCCTTTATTCCTCAAAATTAAGTGTATAGATTAGTATTACTTTAAGTTTAAATATGTTATTTTTAGTTTAAATAGCAATAAATATGAAGAATTTGTATTTTCTATTAAAACCCTTATTTTTTTTCAATGAATATGTGGATTTAAAGATGGTGATTCCTCTTCCCAAACCATGTTTCAGAACTTTTACAAAAGGAATAATTTCCCTAGTGTTATGGCTTTTTAAAAATAAATTAGTTAAGGTAATTTTCAATTGGCATGTTAAAAAGGATGTCAAGATTTTATTCTTTTTTCTACCGTGCTTTTATTTCATTCCTAAATAATAAAATTGATTGTTGATGCTTTCCCCATAGGGTGCTGTCATGATTACTACTGGATCCCACAGATATAAGAAAAACAATTTTCAAAGCAGCTGAATTTTGCAACTTCTCCAAAGCCAGATTTTGATCTATTTTTTTAAACATTTAGAAAATTAAGAAGGGAATCATACTGTGTCATTGAAATAAAAATGAGACACTTGACCATGGACTCAAGTAATACAAGTGATCAGTCTTGTCTTTGAACCGCACAGTCTTATATTACTTTGGTTTTCTCAGACTCCAGAGTAGCTTTTCTAGGACAGTGTCCTAATAATACATTGAAACATATACCTCTCATCCAACACCTCTCATGCTGTGCCACAGGATTTTAATTTGTCTTAGAAAGTTTGTGGCTAAGTTATTCCTTTCATGCTGCTTCAATTTAAATTTTTAAATTGTTTTTTCTTTATTGAATTTTAGAGAGAGGAAGGGAGAGGGAGAGAGATATAAACATCGATGAGAGAGGACATCGATTGGTCACCTCCTGCATGCCACCCACTATGGATCAGGCCCACAACCTGGGCATGTGCTCTGACTGGGAATTGAACCAGTGACCTCTTGGTGCATGGAGTTGATGCTCAACCACTGAGCCACACCAGCTGGGCCAGTTTAAATTTTTATTTTCATTTTTTTTTAAATCCTCGTATGAGGATATTTTTCCATTGCTTTCTAGATAGAGTGGAAGGGAGAGAGAGAGAAACATCGATGTGAGAGAGAGACACCAATTGCCTCCTGCACGACCCCCTCTGGGGCCCGGGATCAAACCTGCCACCCAGGTATGTGCTCTTGACCGGAGATCAAACCCACAACCCCTCGGTTCTCAGGGTGATGCTCCAACCGCTGAGTCAAACTGGCCAGGGCTATTTTCATTTTTTAAGAACACTTTTTGCGTATTTTTGTTAATGCTATACAGTAGTTTGGAAACACTAGTCAAGTATTGTATCACTGTTTCCTAGCATAGCTAATGGATTTAATTTCTGTGATCTTAGCAGAGGGTTATTACTACCTAGGAGAACTGAATGAGAAGATCACTTAAACCCCATACCTGATGTATCCAGATAACTGCTTTGGCACTTTACATTGCTTGAACTGTGGTCTCTGTACCTATATATTAAGGGTGCCCTTAACGGGAACCGAACCTGGGACTCTCCAACTGCTGAGCCAAACCGGCTAGGGCACCGCCTTTTGTTTTTTAAAGATATTCTTAATACAAAAACTTACTAGTTAATTAGGTTCAGATTTTTCCTCTCATCTTCATGAAACTATGAAAGGAGCAGAGAACTTGGGCAGAGACTGTAGTTGAAAATTTAGGCAGAGGTCTCATCAGATGTGGCCCAGGCTGCATCATATACACCTGAGTGTTATTGCAGTCCCTTTGCAGCCTCGTGCAGCAGTTGCCCTGAGTTAAGCTGCAAATTCAGCTTCCCTTTGGTCACAAAGCTCAGCTGCTTGTGCATACTTCTCTCAACTTTGGGCTGATTGGGTTAATTCCACCCTTCCTCAACAAGGTAGCTCTGCAAATACCCTTCTCCTTGCCATGTCTTTTTCTAGTTGAGTTCTCTATTCCTAGGAGCATTGGTTCTTCCTCTTTTCACAGGATCTCGACTTGTCCTGGGCAAGCCAGCTCTTTGCTTCTGCTCCTGAGAAGTGCCAAGATTCTGCAACGCTGACTCCAACTGCCCTCTCGTGCCTAGACTTTGGGCTGCTTTCCGGATACCTGCATAAGCAAGCCCTTGTCACTACTACCCACTCCTACTTGAACCCTGCTTTTTCCTTCTGGCTACACTTGTGTTCCTTTCTCTCCTTCCCCACCTCCACCCTTCATGCACAATGCATAAAGGATGGAAAAAGTACTGCGGCCAAAAGTCTCTGAGTGAGGCAACAATGGATGAATATTTAGGCAGCTTAGGGCTGTTTCGAAAGCTGACTGCCAAGGATGCCTCTTGCCTCTTTCGGGCTATTTCGGAGCAGGTAAAAGAAAAGCAAATATATCTTCCCTATACTGAGATTTCAGAGTTTGTGATGTGGCATGGTACTGTAGCTAGACGACCTGTAGCCCACGAAAACAAACGAAAAATGTTCTTTTTTCTTTCCTAGTAAAATCATCCAGGTCTGTCTGCTAATTAGTTTGGTGCATACCTTTGCTGATTAGTCCAAATATATTGCTGTGCCTTTGTTATCTTTTCTGTTTTCTAAATACTACTTTGGAATGCATGAGAGATAAGATAATAGGGTTAAAGGAAAAATTGAAACTTATCTTGATTGTTTATAAGCAGCCCCTGCTTTCTGTATGTTTTATGCTAAGGAAAAATATTCAGGCTGTGCCCATAAAGAGTAGAAAAGGGGGAGTTAATAGAATAATCTCTCCCCAATCTCACTAAGTGTAACAAAAACAGATTTTAGTAATATCAGGACTTAATTTCCCAATTTCCTACATATGTTTTGAATAAGGGGGACTGGAAGTGTCCAGTTCATAGTCTTAATAGAAGCTTCTATTTCAAATAACTGCTGACAGTGAGCTGGTTTTTCTCTTTTTAGTTGTTTTGCAGCCAGGTCCATCATTTGGAAATCAGGAAGGCTTGTGTCTCATATATGAGAGAAAATCAACAAACTTTTGAGTCTGTAAGTAGAATACATACCCAAGGAAGAGCTTTCATTAATGTATGTAGCAGATGGGAAATGAAATTTGAGCACCTACATGTGAAAATTATATCGTGTACTCTCAGTAGCAAATATGTACTTTTCTGCTAGCTTCCCTCCAACTAGCTCGCATACTTCTGGACCTCCTTCCAGAATTAAATTGTTTGGTACTCTAAAAATAAAGAAAAAAATTGGTATTCTTCCCACTACTTTCTTCCTCCCATACACCAAAAAAAACAGAAACAAAAACAAACAAACAAACAAACAAAAAACCTTCAAACCCTAAAAAGTTAACAGTTTGACTTCTGTTTTGTACTATTTATACCACTGTTGTTTTTTTTTTTTTTTCCTTGAACAATTAATCATAGTCCATGAAAGGCTTGGCTATGTCAATATTTTAAAATGTATATATTTAAAAATATATGCACATGAGAACTCCCCCCCCCCCGTTCTCTTGCTTAATTTTGTGCACAATACTTGAAGAATCTTCTAATATTTAATTGTAAAGAAACAAATTAGTCCTAAACATCCGTCTTTTCTTCTGACAAACTGTGGTAATTGGAGCTCTGCCACCAAAGATTAACTTTGAAACAACTTTTAGAAGGCATCTAACATTGAAGTATTTGAATTTTTGGTAACAAAGCAAGGTTTTATGAAGGTCTGATATGAGGTATCCTTTCATGTGTCTGTTAATTTTTTATTATACCCCTAGCTCTTCCAGTACTATTTTTCTTCTGCTTGTATGTTATGGATATGTGCCTGCTGTTCAAGGTTTACTCTTAATTTTCTCAACAGGTTTCATTAAATTTTAAAACTGTGAAGGTTTTTTGATTTTTAAGCTTATTACCGTAAAGTTAATTATAATCTTGACCACACCTGGGGAAGCTATTATTCATGAATTACTTCAAATGAAAGACCATGTGTAAAGCAGTGCATCTCAAGTATTTTTGTGCATACAAATCACCTGGAGATCTTGTTAAACTACAGATTCTGATTTAGTGGGTCTGAGCTAGGGACCAAGATTTCTGCATTGTTAGCAAACTCCCAAGTGATGCTTGCTATTGTTTGTGGACTATATTTTGAATAACAAATATATGTGTGTAAAATTTTAGAACTGGATGGATGAATCTCAGAATAATTTTGCTGTGTAAAAGAAGCGAGACTACCCCAAAATAATACATACTGTATGATTTCTTTTATATAAAACTCTAGACAATACAAACCAATCTGTTGTGATTAAGGCAGGTCAGTGATTGCTTGGGGGGTGGTCAGTAGAGTTAGAGAGGAGCACAAGGAAACTTATGGGAATAATGGATATATGTATTCACCATCACCATTATCATAATGGTTTCATGGGTGGATACATATGTCAAAATCTGTTTGTGCCATTTAAATACATGCAGTTTATTGTATGTCAATTACACTTCAATTAAGCTGATTAAAAAAGGGATTGAGAAGAATTAAAAATTGATTTTTTAAAATTCTAGTTCTATTTAATGCTAGATATATATGCATGGAATGTTATTTCCTGAGTTTAATCTGATTTTATTTTTATTGAAGTATATTTTACATAAAATTCATCACTTTAACTTTAGTAATTTCAGTTTGGGCAATAATATATAGTCATACAGCTGTCACTGCAATCAAGATGTAGAACATTTCTATTGCCCCAAAAAGTTTCCTTGTGCCTGGGCTTTTTTGAACCTAATGAAATTTCCTTTAAAGTTCTTCAGTTTAATTTTGTAAATGGATGTCTCCTGTAAAATTTAAAATATAGGGCTTATAATTATTAGGCCTGCTTGATTTATGAAAATTGTCAATTTAAGTTGGCATTTCACAAGAAACTCATAGGCATAGCATTTGAGGAAATTCAGTGGTATGTGGATAAGCCAGGACCAATTCCTAACATACTTTTCTAGTCTAGCTTTTTTCCACCCATAGCTTTTTTTGTATCTGCAAATCTTCTTGAGGTGCTGTGCAAAGTAGTAATTTAATACCATAATTATTGAGCTGAATGAAAACCTGTTGGAGGATAATATTGCAGAATATAATCAGATTTCAGTAATGCTGTGTATTATGGTTAAGTCAAGTTTGTTTTATTTTTGAAGTATGTGGAGGGATCTTTTGAGAAATACCTGGAACGGTTGGGAGATCCCAAGGTAAGATCAAATATGGGGGTTCAATCTTTTCAGAGTATTTGGAATAATAACCTAAATAATTATTCAGTTTGTTTGTTGCTTTAGCTAGAGCCAATCTGTTTTCTTAAGTAGCTAGCTGTGTTGTATCAAATAGTTGTTGCAAAAGTTTAGAGGCTGGCAGTTGACCTGTTGTTTTGTGTTAAATATTGAGAATTGTGTGTTTAACAATTTTATCATCCATAGACTAGTGAAAGAGTACATGCTGCTTGGTAACAGGACAAGCTTAAGCTTTTAATGAGAGAGGGAGGTGGTAAGAATGTTATTAGGAGGTCATTATTATTTTTTATTGAACAATTCTCCTGATTTGTAGTTATTCTTTTAAGTGGGAGTAAGATCCATAAACACATATTTAATTAAACATTTCATGTGATTAAATTAATTTCATAGTTTGGGTTTAAAACACATGTGCTAAATACCCAGCTAACTTTGTATTCTTACACTAATTCCATTTTCATTGTGCCCTTTAAATCTCCCATATTAACTGTCTCTGTTACTTAATGGCTAAGGTTTTGGGTCCTTTTTTTTCAGAATAAGTTTTTTAATGAGTAACTATCATAGTATCGCAATTTTCAAAGCAAGTTATATTATGTTCTACAAATTCTTCATCTAAAAAATTGATAAACTTGCAAAAACTTGTACTTTCTAGCTGCTCAATGTTTTTAAAAACTATTTATGTTTAGGAAAGTGCTGGCCAGCTGGAAATAAGAGCTCTTTCTCTAATTTATAAGTAAGTTGAATATCTTTTTTTAAAAAAAGTTTGTGTGTGGGTGTGTGGGTGTATGTGTGTGCATGCGCGCGTCAGCGCTCACGCACAGTTTCTATTAAAGTCCTTTTAGGTTTGGGAAATTTTTAGATTTGATGTATTGATGTGTAGAATGAAGAGGTCTAAGCAAAGTCAATTAGTGTAATTTTTAGTTGGAGAATCTCTAGCATTTGTGTCCATTTGGATGGAAGAATAAAGGACTTTAAGAACTGCTATTATTCCTGTGGAAAATCAGAATAATTATCTTAGAATTTTGTTTAACTTTTTACCTCTTGCATGCATCCTCAATGGGGCCATACTGCTTCCAAGAGTGTTGAAATTGATTCTTGAGGACAAGAAAATTAGAGATTACAGTGGTTTACAGTGTAACTGTGGTATTAAAATTTCATAGAGAAATTAAGAAAAGTCTGAAGCATCTCTTTAGGGAGGCGATAATGGGGGAAATTTTGATAAACAGTGCTGTAATGCTTTGGAAGTTTTGCTTTGGTCTTTGAAACTGCAAAGGTAGCATTTCTGAAAGCTATAAGTTTTTTTTAACTTTATTTTTATTGTTGACACTATTACAGATGCCCCCCCCCCTTGTCCACCTCTACCTAGTCCTTGCCTCCCCACTGCCTTCTTTCTGGCCAACACCACACTGTTGTTGGTGTCTATGGGTTATGCATATGTGTTCTGTGGCTAATCCTTAGGGTTTTGAAAAAGCTATATGATATAGGTTAGAGGCTCATGGGAATCTTGTTCATTTGAGAAGGTTGATCTGCGTAAGACTTCTTCACAATTCTGAGGATGGTGAGATGGCATATACCTTGGTAGAGTCGGAACTTTCTTGTTATGGGGACTTGTTCAAGTTAGTGTTTTTCAGTCTGCTCTTTTCTCACTAAATCCAGCAAGAGGTAGTTTAGCAGAGTCATTGGGCAGCTGGCTTTGAAGTCATGGGCCAACTCTTAAATTGGCCTGCTGTCTGCTTCTATATAGCCCTCAAGCTGAGAATACTTTTTAAAAGTTTTTAAATGGTTAAAAAATCAAGAGAAGGGTAATGTTTCATGGCATATGAAAATTATATGAAATTCAAATTTCAGTGCCTATAAAGTTTTATTAGAACACAGTCATGTGCATTTGTTTTGCATTGTCTATGGTTGCTTTCATGCTACAAAATGAAAGTTGAATAAAATATGGCATGCAAAAGCTGAAATGTTTATTATCTGGTCATTTATCATGAAAAATTTGTCAACCCCTGCTTTGAATAAATGGGAGCCTCTAAAAAATTTAACAAATTTATATACAATTGGTAATCTGTCTTCTTTATTCCACTTTCTTGTAAATTAAGATACATTTTATTTTTATTTTTATCCTCACCTGAGGACATTTTTTTTGTTTGTTTTTGTTCAAATAGAGTGGGAGGGAGGGAGGGAGGGAGGGAGGGAGGGAGAGAGAGAGAGAGAGAGAGAGAGAGATCGACGTGAAAGGGATACATTGAGTGGCTGCCACCCGCACGACCCAACCAGGGCTGGGGACAAACTGCAACCAAGGTACATGCCCTTAGCGGGAACCGAACCTGGGTCTCTCTGGACCACAGGCCGACACTTTAACCGCTGAGCCATACCGGCCAGGGCAACATACATTTTTTAAATATCCATAGAACATTACAGGCCATTAGCTTGTCTACCTTGAATTAACATTATTTAGCCTCATAAACATATGGATTATTTTATATGAATAAGGTTAGTAGTTTAAAAGCACAAATACTCATAACTATCTCTTGCACATGCTAAATTATCTTTTTTCATCCACCTTTGTTTTCTATCCGCATAGTCGAGATTTCGTTCTGTATCGCAGTCCTGGAAAGCCTCCAACTTATGTCACAGATAATGGCTATGATGACAAGGTAAGAAGATAAGTGAATGTTTACTAAAATAAAAAAATAAATTGAATGATGCTCAGGGCTTACCAGGATATTAAGAATCATTATTTTTTACCTTCTTAATAAAAAAATTAAGCGCATTCCAAATAAGCTTTTCTCCCATCAGCCTTTTCCTCCTCAGTCAGTGTTGTTAGCTACCCTTCTGAACAGACCTGATCTTGTCACTTGTCTGTAATAGAAAATCCTAATTGGCTCCTCATTGATAAGAAGATAAGGTTCAGACTCTGAAGCTAGGTATTCAGTGCCCTAAAGGGTTCCAGCACTTCTTTCCAGATTCATTTTCCTTCAATATTACTGTACCATGCTTCTAGATAGTCTGACTTTTGTATGTTTTTCTTTCCTTTGTATATCAAATGTGTCAGTTCTGTAAAACTTTCCCAGCCCCGCTAGAATTATTTCTTTCCTCTGTATTACCCTAGCATCACCCAAGTCATGGTATTTATCACATTGTATTTGTTTTCATGTCTGTTTTGTCTCATTAGTCTGAAAGTTTCTTGAGGACAAGGCAGTGTGCTGCTACTACCTAAATAAGGTACAGATAGTAGGAGGTTTAGAACTCTCAGCAGGTGAACAATTGTTCTTTAGCATATGATTTTTCTTCCAAAAAGTTTTAAGAAAACCCTTTTATACTGATTATTTGATTACTGAATACAGATTGTACAATATTTGACTTTTGTAAATCTTGTTTCACATTGTAGAGCAAAATTCAGGCAACATTTTGATGATGGTAAAGTAAGAATAGACACTGAGAGCACTGTTAGGATGTTATAGTAATCTAGACAAAAGACCTAAACAAAGCAAGTGGCATTAGGAATAGAGAAGACCGAGTAGGATGCAAGAGATAACTTAGAAGATAAATATAAATTGGGGCACACTAATTGTTTTACCAATGGTACCACCTTCTAATTTGTGTAGCAAACATTAAGCTCCTGTAGTGTACCAGGCACTTTACTGTTTAAGGGGCTATGAATACACACATTTAAGTGTCTGTGAATGATAAATTTTACAATAGAAATGTGTGCGAAGAGCTTGAGGGAATTTAGAAAGTTTCGTGGTGATAGTGACATTTAAGTGGACTATCATAAAAATGAGTCCAACAAGTATGAAGGACACTCTACTCAGAGAAAACATTATATAAAAAGACATGGAAGCAGGAGACCCTTTGGGACTCAAGTAGTTGGGTGGAGGGAGGGCATTGTTAAAAAGATAGGCTAGAGTTATATAATGAGGGGTGTAGTAGACCATGGCAACAATTTGGCTTTTCATTGTACAGGATAGTTCATTAAAGCCATTTTCCAATAGTTTATCTTGAAAATTTTTAAACATAAAGAAAAGCTAAAAGAATTTTACAGTCAGCATCCATAGACCCACCACTTAGAGTTTACTGTTAGTATTTTAGATCCTTGTTTTATCACATACATATTCATCCTTCTGTCCAGTCATTAATCCATCTTAATTTTTTATTTTATTTCAAAGTAAATTTCAGATATCAGAACAATTGCCTTTAAACACTCATTCAGAGTTTTTAAACAAAGGTGTGATATAATCAGAATTGTTTGAGGAAGAGGAATGTTAACCTTTGTTTTAGCATTGTACACAGCATTGCCTGAGATGATATTTAGACATTTAGATCTTACCAGGACTCTTTTAAAACTACAGTTGATTGTTTTACCCCGACATTTTATTCTTAAAATTTTTATAAAGAGAAAAGTTAAAAGACTTTATAATGAACCTTCATATACCCGCTTCCTAGTTTCTACAAATTATACAGCCCCATTTTCAAATGAGTCTTGTATATCCCAGAGATAGTGAGCTAAAACTTTTTGAGTGTGTGCAACCATGAGAATATCATAATTATCATACATACATATATACAGAGCCAGTACTTATCAGCAGTTGGGTATTTGCATGCACAGGATAGTGTATATATGTCTGATTTGGGATTATTTAAAGTGAGTATGTTTGATCATATTTAAATTTAAGTATGGAAAAGGAAGGTAGCAGTAAGGTACTTTCCTTATGTGACACTTTGCTTTGCCTAAAACAAAGTTGCTATGTCTCAGTTCAGGTCATAAAATTTATATTTGAGTTGTTTGTGTTTTCAAAAATAACTTTATTAAAAACAGTGAAAATTATTTATGAGCCTTCCATAAAATATATTTGGGAACCAATTTTCAAAGAAATAAATGCCTAATGTTCACCTTAGTACCTTTCACCTTCTGTGCTGACTGTTACCTCTGCATTTTGCAGTTATCCAATGTCAAAGTGAATGCTACTGGATGCTAGCCATCTTTACTCAGCCCATTTGCTCTGTCTAGAAAGAATAGAAATGCATACTTATTAAAAACAAAATAAAACTTAAATCTGGAAAAATGAAGTAAAACGTCAAGTCTCTATTCATGTTCTTCCATCTCATGTGCTTCATAGTAACAACTATTAAGTTTTGGTGGGTATCCTTCCATATTATTTTCTTTGCATTATTTAAATGTAGATAGGCTTATTCATACTTAACATCCTGTTACTTATTCTTTTTAGATAACTATCCTCATCAGTAATATAGATCTACTTCAGTTTTTCACTAGTTTACTGCCATTGCATCCCACCGGGCACCCCTAACAAACACACCACCCACAATGTATGAGAGACTTACTATTTAATGTTGGGATACCACCGGGAACATAAAAGCTGTCATGCCTAATTTTGCCTCTCCCAATCAAAACAGATCTAATTGTCACTGGAATAGAGAATTTGTATGGTCATCTCTATTTTCTTTCCTACTTATTTATCAGTTCTGGTTAGCTGAGTTCCTTTAACTACTTAACAACACCTCCAGTTATTAACCTTTCTTAGTCGGAGTTCCCAGTTCTTATAGTCTGAAGTGCAAAGGGCTTCTCTGTTCAAAATCTACTCACTGTCCTGTGGGATTAATAAACTCCTCTTAAAAGCAAGTACTCCTTGGGATGGGTGTAACTTCATAACTTAAACTTTACTGTGAGTAAACCTTAGCTTGCCCTCAGTGCTTTGAAACGGCTTATACTGTTGGAGTTGGAATTGTGATTTCAAAAAAAAAAGGGGGGGGCTTCAGGGAGAATAATATACCTGGTATCAGAATGGTACGCCTTGCATCAGAGAACTTGATTATTGGCAGAAGTTATCCTATGGTACTGTAGGTAGGTAATAAAAAAGAGTGCGTGATATAATCTTCTGCCAAGGAAACTTTGTGGCAACATCTTCCCATAGATCGTAGAGAATCATCAAACAAAAGTTCGAAAAGGTTTTAGAGCAGTTATTTAAACAAATTTTACGACATGGAGCCAAGTAGCATTTTTACTGAAATAATTCATATAGTAAGCATTCATGGCCTTTGAATTATTTGAAAAAACTACTGATCAAAGGAATTAGTTAAGAAATTAAATCATTTTGTAGCCATCTCATACCTTAATTCATCAAGGAAGTCTTTTTTTATCTTTATTGTTGAAAGTATTTTACATGTCTCCCCTTTTTCCTCCATTGACCTCCTCCTCCTTGCTCCCACCCCCTCCTGCCTTCCCCACACTTGTCTGTGTTCATTGGTTACACATTTATGCATACAAATTCTTTGATTTATCTCTTCTCGCCCCCCCACCCCCCAGCCTGCTTCCCTCTGAGGTTTGTCAGTCTGTTCCCTACTTCCATGTCTTTGGATCTGTTTTGACTGTCAGCTTATTTAGTTCATTATATTCCGTAAATAAGTGGGATCATGTGGTACTTGTCTTTCTCTGAATGGCTTATTTTGCTTAGCATAATACTCGCCAGGTCCCTCCATGTCATCTCAAAGGGTGAGAGATCTTTTTTCTTTACAGCTGCATAGTATTCCATTTTGTATATATACCACAGCTTTTTTATCCACTCATCTACTGATGGGCACTTGTGCTGTTTCCAGATCTTAGCTATTGTACATAGTGCTGCTATGAACATAAGGATGCATATATTCTTTCTGATTGGTGTCTCTGGCTTCTTAGGATATATTCTTAGAAGTGGGATCACTAGGTCAAATGGCAGTTTAATTTTTAATTTTTTGAGGAAACACCATATTGTTTTCCATAGTGGCTGCACCAGTCTACATTCCCATCAGCAGGAAACTAGAGTCCCCTTTTCTCCACATTCTTCCCAGCACTTGTTTGATGATTTGTTGATGACAACCATTCTGGCAGGGGTGAGGTAATACCTCATAGTTCTTAATTTGCATATCTCTGATGATTAGTGATGTTAAGCATTTCTTCATATGTCTCTTGGCCATTTGTATGTCCTTTTCGGAGAGGTGACTATTTAGTTCCTCTGCCCATTTTTTAATTGTTTTTTTTTTTTTTGTCTTCTTTTTGTTGAATTGTATGAGCACTATTTATTTTGGAAATTAACCCCTTATCTGATATTTCATTGGCAGTTATGCTCTCCCATACAGTGCGTTGCCTTTCCATTTTAATGATTGTATCTTTTGCTGTGCAGAAGCTTTTGAGTTTGATGTAGTCCCATATATTAATTTTCTCCTTTGTTTCTGTTGCCTTAGGTGATGTATCAGTGAAAGTTCTGCTGTGTATGATGTCTGAAATTTTGTTGCCTACAGTTTCTTCTAAGATTTTAATGGATTTATGAGTCACATTTAAGTCTTTTATCCATTTAGAGTTTATTCTTGTGTATGGTGTAAGTTGATGGTCTAGTTTCATTTTTTTTTTTTTTTTTTTGCATGTAGCTGTCCAATTTTCCCAACACCATTTATTAAAGTGGCTGTCTTTACTCCACTGTATGTTCTTGCCACCTTTGTCAAATATTAATTGAGCATATCGCCTTGCGTCCATTTCTGGGTTCTCTTTTCTGTTCCACTGGTCTATATGCCTGTTCTTGTGCCAGTACCAGGCTGTTTTGATTACAGTGGCTTTTTAGTATAACTCTATATATTTTGGATATTAACCCCTTATTTGATATATCATTGGTAAATGTGTTCTTCCATACAGTGGGTTCCCTTTTTATTTTGATGCTGGTTTCTTTTGCTGTGAAGAAGCTTTTTAATTTGATGTAGTCCCATTTATTAGTTTTTTTCCTTTGTTTCTCTTGCCCTAGGCAATGTATCGGTGAAAAGTATGCAACATGTGATGTCTGAGATTTTTGCTGCCTACATTTTCTTCTAGGATTTTTATGATTTCATTTATGTCTTTTATCCATTTGCAGTTTATTCTTTTGTAGGCTATAAGTTGGTGGTCTTGTTTCATTTTTTTTTTGCATTTATCTGTCCAATTTTTCCAACACCATTTATTGAAGAGACTGTCTTTTCTCCATTGTATGCTCTTAACTCCTTTGTCGAATATAAATTGCACATAATATCTTGGGTCCATTTCTAGGTGCTCTGTTCTGTTCCATTGATCTATATGCCTGATCTTGTGCCAGTACCTGGCTGTTTAGATTACAGTAGCTTTGTAGCTTAACCTGATATCTGGTATTGTGATTCTCCAACTTTGTTCTTCTTTTTCAAGATTGCTGTGGCTATTTGAGGTCTTTTTTGGTTCCATATAAACTTTTGAAGTATTTATTCTAGTTCTGTGAAATATGCCGTTGGTCCTTTAAATATGGATTGCATTGACTCTATAGATTGCTTTGGGTAGTGTGGACATTTTAGTGATGTCGATTCTTCTAATCCACGAAAACAATACATGCTTCCATTTTTTTATATCTTCCTCTATTTCTTTTTTCAATGTCCTGTAATTTTTTGAGAACAGGTCTTTTACCTCCTTGGTTAAGTTTATTCCTAGGTATCTTAATTTTTTTTTGTTGTAATGGTACATGGGATTATTTTTTAGTTTTCCTTTCTGAGTGTTCATTATTGGTGTATAAGAATGCCATCAATTTCTGGATGTTAATTTTGTATCTTCTACTTTGACAAATTTCTTTTTTAAAGCTAGTATTTTTTTGGTGGATTCTTTAGGGTTTTCTATGTATAATATCATGTCATCTGCGAATAAATGACAGTTTCACTTCCTCCTTTGCATTTGGATGCCTTTTATTTGTTTCTTCTTGTCTTATTTCTATGGCTAAGACTTCCCAGTACTATATTGAATAATAGCGGCAAAAGTAGACATTCCTGTCTTATTCCTCTTCTTAAGGGAAACGCTTTTAGTTTTTGTCCATTGATAATGATGATGGCTGTAGGTTTGACTCAGCATAGGTGTCCTGATGGCCTCCTTTCCAGCTCTTTTCCCAGTGCCATGAACCCCTGTCTCTTCTCATGCAACTCCAGTCCAATCAGCCCTCCCTCTGCCGAAGCCCAAGGTGAGTGGCTGTAGCTAAAATTTAGTTAGCTGGCCCTTCAGGTAGGTGCCCATGTTCCCAGTGATTCTCCCTGCTGGACAGGACCTCTGCTGTGGTGTTTTTCACAGCTAGGTGTTATCTGGGTACTTTTCCTGTTCTGCCACTCTGTGCTAGAGAGCCCTGGTTGGGGCTTAAACCACAGGGTGCTGAGGATACTTCTCCCAGCTATGATAGCCCTCAGCTGCTGCATATGAGAGCCCGGCCATCCCTCTCGCACCTCTGCACCTCTACCAAACTTGATTTGGACTCCACTTTAAGTGTCTGCTTATAAGGGTTCTCTCCAGCTGGTCTTCAGTTGTTTATTCTAGATGACTTTTCTTTAATTTAGTTGTAATTCCAGTTTCATCCTGGGAGATTCCATTCACTCCACCGCCATTATTTCTTCCTCTAAGGAAGTCTCTTTAGCAGTATTGCTCCTATGTAGTATATTTATATATTGCTATTCAGTATAGTGGATAACAATTTGAATATATTCTCCCACAATTTGAGTTTGGAGTATTTGGGTGTTTGACCTGATTTTTCCAGTCATTTTTCTAAGTTAAGTTGGGTCTTTTGACTTCTGTTAGGATTTCCATTATATTCACTCATTCAGTTTATAAAAGTTCCTATCTTTTCAAATTTATAAATTAGTATTTGTTTGGTATATTAACCTGAATGTGATTGAAGCTCACATTTTAGCCTTAGTAGTGATTTCGATTTTGGCATTTAAAAGTCACTGTTAAGAAAATCTCTTTATGAGGTGTAGCTTGCATTTAGCTATATTTAGATTTTAAAAATCACTTTTTCTTCAGCTTTATCAAGAGAAAATTGACACATTATGCTACATGATGTGTATGGACGAAACTCTAACCAGCTGAGCTACCTTGCCAGTGCTATAAGTCAGTTTTTAAAACAAAACAAATTCATTTATTTCATCAATTTTCTGATTCCTAACCTAATTTTAAGTATCTCATGGTGCTAGATGTGTAACATTCACTTAATTGCTCTGTGTGTTTTTCCTCAGATTCTACTCTGCTATTCAAGTAATGGTCATTATGATTCAGTATACTCAAAACAATTTCAATCAAGTGCAGCTGTTTGTCAAGGTATGTAAAAGCTTTATAAATGTTTGGGTGTGATTTATTGCCAGTCTTTAAATTGAGGAACCTGCCGTAAATAGCTCTTTTAAAACCGCGTTGGTACCTGTTGAATTTGTATACTGGGTATGGCTATTTTCATATTGTTATTTTAAAAAGTATCATTTTGACCATTTTTTTCTTTAGCTGTATTGTATGAAATTCTCTATAAAGATGTGTTTGTTGTGGATGAAGAAGCATTGAAGACTGCAGTTGAATTGTTTCGAAGTGGTTCCAAGAAGAACAGAAACAGTGCTGTCACTTGCAGTGAGGATGCCCATGTTGCCTACAAGAATTTAACTCAGGATAGGTAATAAAGGGAAAGGAGATATCAACTACAAGATCATCATGTTTCTATGTGTCATCATTTGAAAATGGAAGAGACCTGGAAAGCTTTTATGACTTAGACCACACACACACACACACACACACACACACATTCTCACACTCACACACACACACACTCGGTCACATGTATGTATGTGTAGAGATATACATTTGTTAATGGAGATAGAGAAGTTTTGCCAAAAAGATGTGTTGTATTGTGAGTGTTGTGAGATGCTCAGGTTTTGGGGGTTTGGGGCCAAATCAGAATCAGCTTTTTTATTGCTAGAAGAGACTTCAGAACTGTCTAATCTCGTGACTCTCAACTTTAGTTGTGTACAAATTACTTAGGGTGCTTTTAAGAAGGGCAGATTCTTGGACCTGCCTTCACAAAATTTCAGGTTGAAGTAAGGCCAGGAAAGTGCTTTTTAACAAAAATATACTCAAGTATTCTAATGTAGATTGGCCATGGACCATACTTTGAAGGAAAAAAAAAATCTGATTCTAAACTAGCACCATAATTTTATACATGGTAACTGAGGTTCAGCTTGGTTACTTGACACACACATCCAGCTGGAAGAAAGTCTCTCTCAAGCTAATGGGAATTTTAAGGGCTGAGTGTCTGCCTTTTGTACTTACTAGGAGTACAGATGGTGGCCTCTGAAGAAGCAGGTATTATTAAACACCTTTAGTCAAAAACTTTGTGTTTGAGATAATATTTCTTCCTGATTTTTAGTTCTGTCTGGAAATTCAGATAGGTTTGGTGCCAGTCAGGTGTGACCTTCTCTTTTAGCCTTGTGATTGTATTTCTTGGATATTTAATGCTTTGAATTTTGTTGTAAATATTTAAAAAAAATTTTTTTTCTTTATTGATTTGAGAGAGAGAGGGAGAGAGATAGAAACATCGATGAGAGAGAACATCAATTGGCTGTCTCCTGCATGCCCCCCACTGGGGATTTGGCCCACAATCTGGGCATGTGTCCTGACCAGGAATCAAACTGGTGACCTCTTGGTGCATGGGTCAACACTCAACCACTGAGCCATAATGGCCAGGCAATGTTTTAGATATTTTTTTATTGATTTTAGAGGGGAAGGTAGAGGAAGAGAGAGAAAGAAACATGAGTCAGCTGCCTCCTGCACATCCCCCACTGAGGATTAAGTCTGAAACCTAAGCATGTATTCCAACTGGGAATCGAACCGGCAATCTTTTGGTGCATGGGATGATGTTCATCCAACTGAGCCACATCGGCCAAGGCAGTTTTTTTTTTTTTCTTTCCTTTCTTTTCTTTCCTCTCTTCCTCCCTCTCTTCTTCCTTCCTTTCTTTATAGAAAGAACAGGGATTTTTTTTTTTTTAACTTACTTGGGCATGCCAGGGTCAGCAACTATATACCAAGGTAAAAGTTGCTTCATTCTTCACTGATTATTGTTAATTTTTTAAATATGTGTTTATTGATTTTTTTTTCGAGAAAGGAAGGGAGAGAGAGATAGAAACATCAATGTGAGAGAGAAACATCTATCAGTTGCCTGCTGATCCCCTAATGGGGATCGCGCCTGCAACCCGAGCATGTGCCTGACCGGGAATTGAACTGGGACCTCTCAGTCCATGGGACAACACTCAGTCCACTGAGTCACACTGGCCGGGCATCACTGATTATTTTATTAAAAGATTCAGGCTTACAGAAATTAAAGTATTAGGAAAGCAGAGTGTATTAATTACCTATTGCTATGTAATATTACCACAAACTTGGCAGCTTAATACAACACACATATCCCACAATTTATATGGGTTAGGAATCTGGGTACAGCTTAGCTGGATCTTTTGCTTAGGATCTCAAAAGACTACAACACTGGTGTTGTCCAGGATTGAACTATTTCCTGAGCTTTGGGGAAGGATCTGCCTCTGCACTCACATGGTTTTTGGTAGCATTCAGTTTCTTGCAGCTATAGGGCTAAAATTCCCAGAGATAATCCTCAGTTCCTTGCCACAGATTAGTGAACATGGCTGCTTGCTTGCTTAAGCAAGAGAGAGACCAGCAAAACAAGCACTACATTTTTACACAATGTGATGATCTACATCCTGTTTATTGGTTAGAAACAAACTTAAGGTGAGGGGTATCAAAGAAGGGTGTGAACACTAGGAGGGTGAGGATCATGGGACCATCTTAAGAATATGTCCCCACAGGAGTTATGAAATATAGGAAGTAATCTGCTCAGTATATTGTAGCACATACTTATACAAAGGAGGCATAAATTTAAATGTTGAGTGGAAAAATATTTGTCCCATTTTTAGAACTGAGCTACTTAAGTACCACTAGGTGGTAGAATAGTCATTAGATTTAATATTTTCTTAGCTATTACATTTATATAAAGCTCTTTGTTCTAAATCTTTTCAAATAGGACTGAAGAGTGGGGTGCTTGCTGCAATGTTGAAAATATACCAGAGGGGTACAACGAACGAACTGAAGAAGCAAAGGTTTGAGATTTTCTAGGGCGAAGACTTTTCATAACCTTGGTTTGCAGCATTATAACTTAAACTACTCAAGGTCACATGGTCCATTCTAGTAATATGGGGTGGGGGAGAATTTGATGTTTACCTTTGTGGAAGTCTTAATCTGAAAATGTAAAATGTTTCCTTGGTGTTCTCTGAATTTTTATTCTTATGGAATTGTAGATTTTTTTCAAAGCAAACTGTACTTGAGAAATTTTAAAAGGTATTTTCAAGTTAAACTAATACTACAAACCCAATAGATATTTAGTTTGTAATTAATCTTATGACACTAAGGTTTCTTTTTGTCATTGAAGAATATAATGCTTATTCTTATCTACTCAAAGAAAGTGGGTAATAATCTTAGTTGGAGAAATTTTGTCATCTGTATAGGTTAAAAAATTAAGCAGATGTTAACTTTGAGGCTAGCTAAATAGGGCAAATGCTATTATAACAATCTCTGTGTATGTCCCAAGTGTCGGTAATTTGGAAACAGTACTGAATATGGTAAAATTCTAAGAAAGCAGAAGAAAAAGGTAATTACTTTGGAAATTACCACAACTTTTAAGCAAAATGAAATAAACTTTTCAGATTTTTCCAGTTGATTTTAGGGTACGGAAACACTTGCATCTCTATGTGCATATCAAGAGAAGACTTATTAAAGAGCTCTGACTGAATCTTTAATCCTGGTCTATGTTGCATTGATTTATATATGACGTGTCCTGAGTTGTTGGCTGCTTGAGACAATATTTCACTTCTGCCATCCAAAACCTTTTAGATTATTTGCCTATTGCTTCTATAGTTTTCTAATTTTTAAAATATACAGTAAAATTTATTATGCAATTTCTTGTTTTAATAAAGAAGGAAATGAAGGTTTATGTACACAGTTTTTTTTTAAATAAAAGAACCTTAATGCTTCCTTCTTTATAGAAGGAAGAATTTAGCTAAAGGTGATAAGTGTGTAGCATGATTATTTTTGTTTTAGTCTCCAGAAAATCCATCAAAGATGCTCTTCCCCTATAAGGTGCTCAAAGCTCTGGATCCAGAAATCTATCGTAATGTAGAATTTGATGTTTGGTTGGACAGCAGAAAAGGTAATGAAATACCAATAGGATACTTTTGAATCCTGACAGATCCAGGAGAATAATTTTGCAAATTATTTATAATAAGAGACATTTCCAATGTACTGTTATGAAAAGTAGTCAGGTACTTACTTTTTACCTTACTGAATACATGATTTAAATTCAAAGGAGGAAACGAATGGATTTAGAAGTGGTGTGGGATCTCTTAGAGTCTGATGTTTATCTGGGATTTCAACTTTGCAAAGACTGTGTGGAGACAGCCTTTAGATAACTAAATACCAGAAACTTGTAGTAACTAGAAATAAGCACATCTTAAATTCAAAGGGGTAAGACTGCTCTCATTAATAAATAAATAGGTTTTCGTAAACTATGGCCTGTAGACCGAATTTGACTTGCCACCTGTTTGTATGGTATATGAGCTAAGAATAGTCTTTAAATTTTTGAATGGCAGAAAAAAGTGAAAGGAACAGTGTATTATGTGAAATTCAAATTTTAGTGTCCATAAGTAAAGTTTTGTGAGAGTTGAGTAGTTTGCCAACTCTCAAAATAGGTAATTGTTTATCTCTCCTTTATTAGATACTAAGTTGGTCAAAGTAGGCCTTAAAGTTCTACCTTACAAGTAGCCTTTAATGTTTCATGTTCAACTCCTTGAACCATGTGAACCTAGGTAGCGTTAACAATATAGAATAAGGTTAAGACTTAGTGGAACACAATAAGCTGTTAAAAATAATAGGTTGCTTTGAAGAAGCTGTATTTCTGTTTTTATTTTAATTGAGGTATGTTCCTTTCAAATTTTATCTTACTGTTACTTGGCCAACTCTAAGATGCCAACCTTCTAATTCCCACTTATTTGTGTTCTGTAGCACAAAACCATATTTGCAAGTCTTCTTAAACTAACCACAGAAATAACCCATCAGCAGTGATAGAATAACCGTTTAGAACTGTCCTCCCCGCCCCCTGCCCCATTTTAGCTCATGGTGGCAGCATTGTAAAAATACCATGGTAGCCCTGGCCAGTTTGGCTCAGCGGTTAGAGCGTCCGCCTGCGGTCCGGAGAGACCCGGGTTCGGTTCCCACTAAGGGCATGTACCTCGGTTGCAGTTTGTCCCCGGCCCTGGTTGGTCGTGCGGGTGGCGACCACTCGATGTGTCCCTTTCACATCGATGTTTCCCTCTCTCTCTCTCTTCCTCTCTCTCCCTCCTACTCTGTCTGTACAAAAAATGGAAAAATGTCCTTGGATGAGGATTAAAAAAAAAAAAATACCATGGTAAAAGTAAATTAGAAAATTAAATAATGTAAAATAGGAAAGGAAACAGTTAAATTGAGCTTGATCCTTTATTTTTCTTAAATAGAACTTCAAAAAGCTGATTATATGGAGTATGCTGGGAGACATTACTATTTGGGAGACAAGTGTCAGGTTAGTTTCTTCTTTAAAGAATCAGTAATTTGTTTTTCCAAGATTGTGGTTTTAGTCATTAATGTGAGTTCAACAAAACTAATTTACATAACTCTAGAAAACATTTTTAAATGTTTACGTTCAATTTTAATTACAAACATTTGTGGTTAGATGTAAGGCTTTTTCAGCATGTACTGCCTCCAATAAACCACACTGGCATTGCTTATTGTCAACTGCTTTAATAAGTAGACACTGAATTCCATTTGTTATTTTTGTTTGTCAGAAGTCAGATCTGCCAACAGACTTGAAACTGCATGTATTCTAATTGTCTCTTCCCCTCTTTCAGGTTCGCTTGGAATCAGATGGAAGATATTATAATGCTCATATTCAGGAAGTTGGAAATGAGAACAATTCAGTAACAGTTTTCATTGAAGAATTGGCTGAAAAGTAAGAATATAGTAATGTGTTGAATTACTAAAATCTTTGCTCCTGGTACCTTTTTGTAATATTAAATTGAGAATTACCAGGATGCTAGTAAGAGAACCATATTTGTATCTGGTACTAGCCTAAGATGACTTATCTTGAATTGTAAAAATATAGGTTAACGTATGAAATCTTAATACAGTCATGTGCTGCATAATGACATTTTAGTCTATGACAGTGGTTCCATAAGATTATAATGGAGCTGAATTTTCTGTAAGAAATGGAAGGATATGTAGTTCAGGAGGAATTCTTTTTTCCTCTGATGGGAGCAATATCTATGGAGTATGGCAATAGATTGAGTCCTCTCACTCTCAGCATCTCAGTTGTGAGTGCACAGATCACATTCCCATCAGTCAGCCATTGACCTGATTCAACACAGGAGCCTGTCCCCACATCACTACATATTCAGAAGGTGCTACAGCCCTCTCAGATTGAGCTTGATGGTCTTCAAAGTACACTGCTATAAATTCTTTGTTGAGGACAAAACAGTCTGTATAAGGACACAGGTCCACAGGAGCTACTTTAACAGGTATTAAGTGCAACTGACAATTCAGTAAAAGCTTTCTGTGATAGTATGGAGCCAGCTTGTCCCTATACTTTAGAAATATGTTCAGGTTGCTATATGTAAAATAGATACATTTTATTTAATCAATTCAATGCCAGAGAGAGCCTTTGTACCAGGTAGTGTCAGTGGAACCAAAAACAAATTTCCAAAGTAAAAATACTGAGTCTCCAGTTCTATCCACTCTCCATGTTGAATACTTTTTTTTTATGAATATCACGGAGTTTCGTACAAACGTGCAATTGCCCAAACCACATTGCCATGACAATGCTTATGTTCCTTTATCTCTCCATTTTGATGATTTCTTCCTATTGTAGTCATCTACACCTTACCCAGCCAGTTTCTCTTCAGTATTTCCAATAAATCCATCCCACATCAAGCTTCATGTTCATCCAGCCCACAGTGTTCATGGAGCTATTTCTGACCCTGTACAAAGGAAGCAGGGGAGGGGGGCTTGCGGGACAATGTTTATAAAGTCCACAGTAGAGTGCAGTAATGTTCCTGCTTTAACATTCATTCACTGAATCACCCAGAGCAACTTCCAGTCCTGCAAGCTCCATTCCTGGTAAGTGCCCTACACGACTGTACCATTTTTTATCTTTTATACCATATTTATTGTAGTTTTCTGTGTTTTGATACACAGATATCATTGTGTTACAGTTGCCTACAGTATTCAGTACAGTAACATGTTGTACAGGCTTATACCCTAGGAGCAGTAGTCTATACCATCTAGCCTAGGTATGTAATAGGCTAGACCATCTAGCTTTGTGTTGAATTCACTCTTGATCACACAATGATGAAATTTCCTAACGATGCATTTCTTAGAACGTACCTTTTTGATAAGCAACACATGACTGTATACCTATGTATAAAAGTTTATAAATCCTAGGCACTAGCAACTTATTACAAATTCAAATATTAAATATAACAGAATTCTGTTAAAAACTGTTCATACTGATTGGAAAGCTGATTTGCCAACTGAGTCTTTGCCAATATCACAGCACCTCAGCTAGTCCAGTCATTCTTAATCTTTTAACATGCTCCAGAACATGTTAAAACACAGATTGATGAGCTCCATCTCCAGAGTTTTTTATTTAGTAAGTCTGTGGTGGGGCCCAAAATTTTGAACTTCTAACAAGTTTCCAGGTGATACTGATGGTATTGGTCTACTTTGAGAACCATTAAGCTAGATTATACTTCCCTAATCAAAAAATCTCAGCTTAAAACAATAAAGTAGCTTCTTGTTCATTTATCAGTGTCATAGTGGGACAGCAAAGGGGACCCTGATCAACAAGGCTCTATTACAGACAGAGAAAAAATTATATCATGACAAACCTTGTGCTGGCTCAGTTATATAATGAATACCACAAAATTCCTTAATCTGTAACCGAGCCTGATGTCAGTGGGGTGGGAAATGTAACTGAGCCTGAAGACAATGAGGTGGGAAAAATATAATCCTCCAAGGAGAGGCAACAAATATTTGTAAACTAGCCTACCACAATCTTTCCTCTGGAATGTGATTTGTACTACAAACATCTGTGAAATTGTACAAACTACTTTTAGGTATTCTAAACTTAAAAAGAGGACCTTAATAGAGAAACTGGTGTCAATAGGCTTAAGGAGAATACACTGGAAAATGAAGCAGAAGGGGTGGGGTATGTCTATCAAATGAGAACTAAGTCTGTGTTGCAGTGGTTTCATGGTAGTATCTTTTAACTTGAAGGCATGTTGTTCCACTGGCTAACTTAAAACCAGTTACTCAAGTGACATCTGTTCCTGCCTGGAATGCTGTGCCTAGTCGGAAAGGAAGAGGTTACCAGAAAATTTCTGGGGGCTATTTCCCAGAAATGGGTTTGTATACTGAAAGTTTTTATTATCTTCCCCTACATTGTAATTTTTTTAAAAGTATACATAAGTCATTTTCTAGGGTAGATTTTTTCAACTTTGGCACTACTGACATTTTGTGATGGATAATACTTTATGGGGAGCTGTCCTGTGCACTGTAGGATGCTTAGCAGTGTACCTGACCTTTATCCACTAGATGCCAGTAACATCCTTTCCCCAGTTTTGATAACTAAAAATGTCTTCAGATATTCCCACGGGTTCCCCAATTTGGGAGGAGGGGCAAAATTGTCCCTGGCTGAGAACCACTGCTCTAAGATATTTTGTGTAAACTTAGGCTGGAGTGGATTCTAAAACTTGAAGGGAAAAGATTGCTCCCAGAACTAGGAAAACACCTCACAGAAGCAGCCTAGGCATTAACTCTACATTTTGATAACCAAAGCCGCCTATCCTAAAGATAGTGCTGAGGTGTCCATTGATACAGAAATTAGTTACTGGTTTTGCCCTTCCATATGGAAGATCTAGTACATCCTTAAAATATATTAAAATTTCCTCCTTGCATTTTTGTTTATTCCTAAGAATAACATTTGGAAGTTTTAGGAATTTGTGAGTGTGGTTGGGAGACACTGGATTATTTGCTTTTGTTATGAAGCTTATTTGCTACTTCTTTGTTTGCCTGAAAGTTATGTCAGAGATGGACATGAAGCAACAGAAGAAGATGTTCAGGAAAGTTAGAGGGAAAGAAATTTATATGTCTGTGGCTTACAGCAGGGGAGATACCCTTCCCCCATCCAGGCTTCAGCATAGTATGCATTATGGGCATGACCCTCCAATGCACTACTCACAGTCTGCTGGCAATTTTATGGCTAATGAACATTTTTATCCTCAACATTCATCTCAGAGACAAGTTCGGGGATATGGGATGCCCAGGTAAGGCTTAATTAACTTTCAAGATAATGTACTTCTCTGTTTAGATATTGGAGGTATTAATGTAGAATTTAGAAATATCTAAATAGTTTAGATTTCTTATTCCTACCTATAGAGAGATAGAGGATGAAACTTATGTACACTTAAATTCTTGTCAAATGAATTTATTGGAAGATTCATATTCTAGTCTAGGGGACTATGGAACAGTTGAAGAGATGCTAGAAGGTAGAATGCCATCAAAATATGAGTGCCATGTATATATGGCCCTGTATCTATTTATAATGGATAGGCCTAATGCCAGTAGTAAGGGTAGCAAAGCTCTTTGTGTGTGGATGTTTGGGGAAAGATGTGTTAATTTTATTTAACTATGAAGACTGACCATTCAAACACTAGTGAATAAAGAATTCTGTTCTCCTTTGCCTTTATTCTTAGGGACTCATCTCGCTTTATTAACAGGCCTAACATGGTGGATCCTAAAATTGGTTTTTACCCTGGCCCAGGGAAAAAGTGCTGTCAGAGCTATGATAACTTCTCCTATAGATCTCGGTAAGTGAATTTTAAGTGTCAAAAGTCAGAAAATGGGTAAGTCTGTCTTCATTGCTGAGCAGCAAATGTGTATATTTAATTTTTTAACTGTCAACATTGTGATGTTTGAACTGTTATTTAAAAATTAGAAACTTACTACCATATTTTATCCTTTCCACCCCCCTTCATTTTTCAAACTACTTAAGTTCCTTTAGACGTAGTCACCGCCAGATGCATTGTGTGAATAAAGAGTGCCAATATAGCTTTGCCCCAGAAAATGGACAGATGCCCAGAGGCTTAGAAGAAACCATTACTTTTTATGAAATTGAAGAAGGGGATGAGACTGCTTATCCAGCTTTACCTGTAAGTAGTTTAAAAATTGATTCAAAAACTGTTTACTTTTCTCTTTTTTTAAGTAAAGGCATGTGGATAAATTTTAGCTTTTTGCACAAATGCCCAAATAAAACCCTTTGTGGAAAACATGACTTCATCTTAGAACTTTTAAGGTGGGAGAAGAGAGCTTTTTTTTTTTAGTTCTTAGAGAAGGAGGTAAAGGTGGACAAATAATTTTGCCTATATAGTATGGGCTAATATTTTGTTTTCTTGATCATTATCGCCTCACATTTAATTCTAAAACATGTTAAAGTGTGTGTGAGTGTGTGTGTGTATTTCCGTCCATAGAGGGAGAACTGCATGTATGAATGTGTCTCTTTGGTACAGAATCATGGAAGGCCCTCTACAATGGTTCCTCCTACTTCGTCATACTGTGTTGCAAGGCGAGGACATAGCTCAGGCAAACAGACTTTGAGTTCAGAGGAGGGCAATGGCCAGTGTGACAATGGTGAGTCAATTACAGTTAAATGTTTTTTTAAAAGATGATTCTTATGGCATTGGAACATCAAGGCTGTGTAGTAGACCTGAAGTTTTTGTTAGGGGTCTCATTCTGTTCTGATAGCTTGTTTTGAAAGTGTTCTCAGTTTTTGTCTCAGAGCTTGCTAGGTTTTTGAAGATATCTTGGTATTTGTCAGAAGGATAGACTTCTATTTCTGTAGGCCCTCTACTTTGTTATAACTTATTTTCAGCTCTTTGCATAGGTTTATACAGTAAAACCTCAATATTATGGACTAATTCGGGTGAGGGTGTGTCCATTAAAGCCGAAAGTCTGTTATATAATAAAGTAGGTTTTAAGAATGCATATGTTTAAAAATTGACAAATTAGTTACTTTACCTGTTTTTAGTTTTGTAGACACGTTTGTGTAATTAAGATTAAGAATGTATGAAAAGTTTAATTTCACAGAAACTATTTCCATATGTAATACTGTAATTTTAAATTTATACTGAAGAGGTCTAGTAAATGGTCACAGGTGGGGCGTGGCTTAGCACATCTTAGAACATCAGCAGGTGTCCGTTAACACTGATGCAGAAAGTCATGCCAAGTGACAATAGAGGCAATTACCATGTGTGATGCGGTGTGATTAAGTGCTAATCATTCACCAACATTGTGAAATTACTACAGTGTTTTTTCAAACATATATATGGCCTATTCACTAAAATTTGTTAGAAATAAGTGAATTAATAACAAAAAAAGAACCTGTTAATTATAAACAAATCTCAGTTAAAAGCATTTTAAAATTAATAGGATGTTAATTTTTACATACCACATATGCACAGGAAATTTTGTCTGTTAAATCTGAATTCCATTAAATTAAGGTCCACAGAATCAAGAGTTTACTGTAATTTGGGGATTTGGTGAGATTTCTGTATGGAAAACATTTATTCCTTATTAATAAGATACTATTCATGTTGTCCTCACCATTTCTAATAACTACTTTAGGCTTTTCATGTGACTGGCTATTATTTTACAAGATTGCTATGAAATAACTTCATTGCCTGAAGAAGTCTACTTAATCTATAAATATTACTATTCATTGAATTCTGTCTACTAAATAATTATATTTATAATACTTAAACTATATACCTCTGAGGAATGTGGTATCCTTATTTTATATATAAGGAAATTGAGATTTGAAGGATAAATGACATAGCCAAAGACATACTTGGTAAGTGGCAAAGATTTAATTTTTTATAACAGCTTTATTTGAATGTGCTTTACATACCACACAGTTCATCTATTTAAACAACTCAGTGGTTTTCAGCATAGTCACAGGATTGTATAATCATCACCACAATCAATTTTAGAACATTTTTATCCCCCCCCCCGAAAAAATCCTGTGCCATTAGCAGCCACTCTCCATTCCCTTTGCCCTCCCCCATCCTATGCAACGACCAATCTGTTTTCTGTCTTCCTGGATTTGACTATTCTGGACATTGTATATAAATGGGACTAATGTAATATGTGATCGTTTGTGACTGGCAGAGATCAGTTTTGAATTTGGGTTTCTATGACTCTAAAGCCTATATGTGTGCCCTCAGCAGTTGTTATAATGCCTCTTACCATGGGGAATGCTTATTTTTACTGTAAAATCATATATGCCTATTTAAACAATTTTAGAGGAGTTGGGTTTATTAAGGTATTCTGAATGACTCAACTTACCAGTCAAGTTCCTTATTTTCCTGTCTGCTACTTATATAGAAGAAAATAGGTATTTCTAGGAAAAAGTCTAGCACAAGGATAATCTATGAAGAACGTGCATGTGCATGCATGTAAAGGATGTACATGCTCTGCTTTTTTACTCAACATGACCCCTTTGTCTTTTCCCTTTAGCACAGTGGATATATTCAGATAGTATTGCTCACCTGTGGTGGCATATTCAAAATAACCAAATCTTTGTTCTCACCTTTAAATCCTGTTGTCTGGAGGGGTTAATGCATGTGTGTGATAAGTAACATGTTTAAGAATCAAATCTAGTTTTGATCTATGAATTTTATTTGGTAAAAAACTATTCAATGTAAGATTGACTTTCTCTGCCTTTCAATGGTATAGCAGTTTTAAAGCAAAGTATGTCAGTCCACTAAGCCATCCTCTAAGAACAGACCAATTTTAAATATATCATTTACCTGACAGGCTAAAAAACAAATGAAGCATGCTATCTCACTTTGGTGTCCACCGAAGCAAACTATGGGTTATACTCAGATTATAGTCACCATTTACTGTATATCAAGCATCTTGCTATATTTTCACTCCCCTAGGTATTGTTATCCCTGTCTTATAGTAAAGAAAGTGAGGCACAAAGAGTGATACAGTTAATTGATTAAAATCTAGTCCTAACTCCAGAGCCAGTAAACTTAAATCACCATAGTGTACTTACTGCCTGACTGGAAATTGGACACAGCTGGATTTTTCAATTCTGCCTGAACTTGAAAAACGAATGGAATTTTCAGAGGGGAAATTTGTACTGTTTATAGCCAATCTCTGGCTTCAGGATCTTTTGACTAATATGAAAGTTCAAATTACTTGTAAGGATGTATACATTTTAGTTTTGAACATATATATCCACAAAACTTGAGAAGAAAGCAAGTGCTGGCCATCTGGCTGTGCTGAGCTAAAAAGCTCTACATAAACATACTTCTGTCTTTTTTTCTAGGGGGATATCATGAAGAATATATTTATCCTTCAGGTCAGTGAGATCTAGATAGAATCTATGACATTCATCATTGTTTATAAAATTTCAAACTATAAAATAATGCTCACTTTTTACTTTGGCAATATCCTTTAGAACCAGACTATGAAACTTCAGGTGTTTATAGCACAACTGAATCTACAGCAAACTTGGTAGGTATTTAATAATAACAGCAAGCACTTATAGCTCCTGCTGTGCACTAGTGCACTCTTCTAAGAAATATGCATATAAATGTACTTAAATCAGAACAGTGCTATGAGTTAATCAGAGTATCATTTTCATTTTGTAGATGAAATTAAATCCAGAAATTAAGTAACTCATCCAAGATCACACTCCTTTCTGAAATTTATCTATATAGAGATATTTCCTACATGTGTTGATACATGAGATAGTTTGAACATTGGCACTGATTATTTTTTTAGAGGATTTTATTAAGATTTTTTTCCTATCAGTAAGAATAGGCCATAAATAAATTTGCTTTTTGGTTATGCTACCTGTCCAGTGGAGCTGTACAGGAGAGCCCAGGTCAGGGACTCAAGCTGATACAAGCTCCATCCATGATTGCCAAGGCAGGAAACACTGGCTGTTACAGCTTCCACCTGGAGATGACACATGTCACTTTCTTTTCTTTTTCATTGGCCATAGCATGTCCCACTGAAGAATCTAATTTATCTCTGCCTGGAAGTCAAAAAGTTGGAAATATTTTAACAGCACTAAGGACTGCAGTATTCAACTCAAACTTCCTCTCACAGCCAAAATACTTGCTTTCACCTCAGGGGAGGCAACCTAAAAATTCCATTCAGGGTAATTAAACTTAGCGCCCAAGGTTTCTGGGAAATGTGCGGCACTCTATATTGATCTGGAAGCCTAAAACCAACAGTATAAAGTTTTCACCCCCCTACAAACCCAGTTTGTAGTGGTAGAGCAGGGACTGAAAAATTTCCACTCCTAGAGGGAGGAAATGGGAGAAACAGTTATTTGCCTGTAGCAATTCTGACATCATGATGGACAGGCAATTGTGAGGGCCTCCAACCTAGGCCTGGGACTATTCCCTGGAGGCACCTGGTTCATTGTTTTCTGGGCCTCTTGGATATTCCAGGTCCCTTCTTTCCTTAGCAGCTTTCTCAGCCTGCTTTTTACTCATAGAAAACTGGGAGTCCAAGGGTTGTTTTATCTTAGCTGGATGGTTTTAGTTCTGCTCATGATTTCTCTGGATGTGTGATTAATTTATTATGCTGCTTCTCTGTTTGATTCCTATTAGTTTCATGTGTCAATATTCCTACTGACAATTCTTTTTAATAATACACTATTTAGATTTGTTATAATGCCTTGCTTTCTTATCTGTTTCTCTCTACTTGATTGCAAGTATCATGAATTTATCAGGTGTTGATGTAAGAACCATACCTTTGGATGCTTTACCATGAGCCACTTTGTCTAAGTACACATATTCACTGGGTGTTATATCCTTAGTTGGACTCTTGCTTTGACATATCTTAATGAAGTCAGATTTTAACAACAGTGATTCTGGCTTTGAGGCTGAGCTTTAACTGTTCTTTGTTCAAAGCATTTATCAATTTACCTTCTACAGTTTGGGATTGAAGTTGTTGCCTCTTCCATTAAGAGCTACAAGTTCATAATCTATGTCCTAAGTTTTTCTTAGAGCAACACCCTACTTCTGGTTACCAATTACTGTTTTAATCAAGCTAGGTTAGGCTGCAGTAACAACTCTCCAAAATTTCAGCAGCCTAACAAAGGACAGTTGTTATCGCTAATGTTACATGTCCAATGCAGGCCTTTTTTCATCATAGTTACTCAGGAACTCAGGCTGATAGACATGAGCTTTCAGAATCACCTTGACACAGGGCTAAAAATAGGAAAATTGAATACTGGCTCTTAATATTTCTGCTCATATTTCATTGGCCAAACATGGCTCATAGCCATACCTAACTTTAGATGAGCCCAGGAAGAGCAACCTACCATATACCCAGGAGGAGAACTGGAATATTTGTGAAAAACTTGAATAACTACCCTCTATACCCTAACCGTGATTAATCTTAACTTTGGTAGCTTCATGTACTAAATTTTTGTTTTCATTGTTTAGGCAATACATCTTAGGAAGGTGACAAAAACTGATATGTAATTCTCTCCCCTATTTTTCCTTTACTTCCTTTGCCCCTTCTAGAGAAATAGTTATCCTTTCTTCTATTACTATTCTCATATCACATGCTTTTTATACCACTTTTGAAATAGTCACCCAACTGAAAAAGCAAGTAAAAATTTCACCATCAGATATGACAAGAGTAGACCCTTTAATTTCACTTGTCACATGTCTCTTTTTGTTCTTCACTTTATTTATCATATACCCCAATAGCTTTCAATCTTTTCATGTTTTGTTCCATTCCCACCCCCTAGTCACCAAATTCATAACAAGTTTCTAAGTAATTTTCTCATAGCATTCTGGGGGCAGAGGACAAATGCATGACTTAAAGATTTCCAGGCACAGAGCCTTCAAAGAAACCATGAACATATATTCCTACTTATTTCCATGCCCAGCTCTCAACCAAATCCTCCTCTAGAATTTTGCATTCACACTGGGCATTCTGAGTCAGGGCTAAAGTTTGCTTTTTGGCAGATACTTTGGCTGTACTTGAACACAAATTTTAGAAACATGCGATCTTAAGTCCATGTTAAATTGGGCTCATATTTGTTACAGTATGGTTCCCTTTGTTTCTGTGATTACTTCCCCTGATTCCCCCTGTTCTTACCATTATTACCAATTTTTGCTGCTAGTTTTATTGCTTTTGTTTGCTTGGTTGTTTTTCCTGTCATGACAATGTCATACATAATTCTGAGCCTTTTAAAATCATTTTTGGCCCTGGCAGGTTTGGCTCAGCAGTTAGAGCCTTTGCCTGCGGTCTGGAGAGACCCGGGTTTGGTTCCTGCTAAGGGCACGTACCTCGGTTGCAGTTTGTTCCCAGCCCTGGTTGGTTCGTGTGGGTGGCAACCACTCGAAGTCCCTTTCACGTCGATGTTTCTCTCGCTCTCTCTCCCTCCCATTCTATCTGAACAAAATATCGAAAAATGTCCTCGGGTGAGGATTAAAAAAAATAAAATAATCATTTTTGCTTTCACAAAGACAAAGTCTTGAGCCAGAGGGAATAGTGTTTGGATTATACTACATCCTGCTTAGATAGGATGCAGCTGAATAAACAATTATCCACCTTTGTCCCAAGCTACATCTTTAGATGGAATGCTTTCTTTTAGCAAAACCATTGTGGGTCCTACTGATTTTGAAGCATTTAAAGCACGAAAGGCCACTGAGAAAGTGCTTAAATTACAGTCCTCTGTTATATTTTAGTGCTTGCATTGGGACTAGAGTTGTATGTAGACAGGAAATAGAGCAGTCACCTAAATCAGGTATTACAGTGATACCTTTTGGAGCATTATCTTATTAGGCACTTCCAAATTTGAATACTTTCAGAACAGATTACCTTTATTAATTTTAGGAAATGTTGAAACAAAGCAGATATTTTACTGATGTGTTGTTTGATTTCTTGATTTCCCCTTACTTAACTGTATTTCTGTATTCACTAAAGTCTCTTCAGGACAGAGGACCATGTTCTATGTCTCCTCAGGACACAGTTACCTCATGCATCTACCCCCAGGAGGTAATCATTTAAGTGTTATTAAGCGGCCAGTTACAGTGGTCTGAATGGAGGAAAATTAATATTTTCTTTTCTCTTCACTCATCATACTTCAGAGAAGCAGCTTATATCCCTATCTTAAGTATTATTATACCTCATGGTGCCTTGTGCAATAATTGGTAAATTCATTCAACAAATTGAGCACCTACTGTGTTCCAGACACTGTTCTATGTACTGGCATTAGACTACTCATAGTCTATTCTGAACCTCTTATGCAATGAGTTAGTTAATATAAATTACCTGTCAAGTCAATGTCCTTTACTGAAACGTAAATGTAATGCTCTTCTGTAGAATGAGCTAAAACTGTAAGGGTGAATAAGATCATCCTGGGAAAAGGAAGAAATTGAGAAGAGCATCTAGAACAGAGCCTGAGGATCACCAAATTTTAGGGAAGGAACAGCCAAGGCGGGGGGGGGGGACATGAGAGTATATTATGGAAACCCCAAGAAGAGGCTGTTTCAAGGAGCAGTCCAGTGTTAATTGTTCCCAGGAGCTAAAGCAACATAAGGACTAATGAGTCTACTGGGATTTTTTGCCATGGAGACCACTGGTGACTTTGAATACAGTTTATGAGGAACAGAGAGGGTAGCAGCCATACTTCAGTGGGTGGTAAGGAAATGGAGACTGCAGTGAGGACAGTATATTTAAGAATAGTCTGTATTGGGTGCTGTGGTCTAATCAGAAATACAGTTTGTAGTCTCATGAGTTTAAAAAATACAAAACACCTTTTCTGTTTTTGTTTTAAAGTGTGTATAAATCTTTGCGTAATATGTAGGAAATACAAAGATTACCTGCTTGGACAGAGGGGAACAAGGCAGATGGAGGATAGAGATTGGAGGGAAACTTCATTGTTACACATTTTTATACTTGATTTTTTAATCATATTAATGAATTACCTTTTCAGAAAAAATAATAAATTAAAAAATTAAAGCTCTCAAAGTAATCTGGGATCTTCTAAAAGAAACAACTTAACCTGCCTATACAGGGTTTACATGAATATTGTTTTAGTTATCAAAATGCTATTTCCTGAAATTTGGGATCAGATAGGAGACTAATATTGTTTGAGGAACCAAACTTAGAGTTCTAAACTTTCACTAGAATGGCTGCCATCAACAAATCATCAAACAACAGGTGCTGGCAAGGGTGTGGAGAAAAGGGTACTCTTCTAGTACCCTACTAGTGGAAATGCATACTGGTGCAGCCACTATGGAAAACAATATGGTGTTTCCTCAAAAAATTAAAAATTGAGCTGCCATTTGACCCAGTGATTCCACTTCTAGGAATATATCTTAAGAAGCCCGAAACACCAATGAGAAAGAATATATGCACCCCTATGCTCATAGCAGCAATATTTATAATAGCTAAGATCTGGAAACATCCCAAGTGCCCATCAGTAAATGAGTCAATTAAAAAGCTATGATACATTTATACAATGGAATACTATGCAGCCATAAGAGAGAAGGATCTCTTAAACCTTGAGATGACATGGAGGGACTTGGCGAGTATTATGCTAAGTAAAATAAGCTAATCAGAGAAAGACAAATATCACATGATCTCACTTATTTGTGGAATATAATGAAAAAACAAGCTGATGAACAAAATAGATCCAGAAACATGGAAGTAGGGAACAGACTGATAGACCTCAGAGGGAAGGGGAATGGGGGTGGACAGGCAGAGATAAACCAAAGAACTTATATGCATATATGCATAACCAATAGACATAAACAACAGTATGGTGAAGGTGGGGGGTGGGGCAGGGAGGAGGATGTCAAAGGGGAAAAAGGAGGGACATCTGTAATAAAAAATGTTAATAAAATTTTTTTAAAAAGAAAAGAATTCTAAACTTTCTTTCACACTTACAGGTGATGGTAAATTCTGCAGCAATTGCAGCTTCCTGTGCCAATAATGTTCCAGCTCAAGTCTTATCTAACAGTGCAGCAGCTAATCAACCTAGTAGTACCACTTCAGTTTCCTCACAGAAGGCTATACAGCCTTTATTTGTATCTTCACCTATACAAGGCAGGCCAGGTAGGTTATTAGTGATTGCTTACTTTGGAAGCCTCTTTTCCTATTGATGAACATACACATACAATAGTTCTAGTGATTAGATAGGATTACTTTAATTTCTAGAATTACCATTATTTAACCTACTTAAACTATTTTCTGCAGTTGAGGAATCTATGAGATTTGAGAGATCCGGGGTTTCATTTTTTTCCCTTGGCAAGTTTGGCTTTGATATGATTTTATAGCTATCATTTTGCTATTTGCTGAAAATTTAAAGGACTTGTACTAGTTTCTCAAACTTCAAGTTAAGTTTTATTATACAGGAATTAAGGTACAAGTGTTTGCACACTTCACACAATTAACTCCTGACAAGTTTGCTACAAAATACATTTCTGTATAATGAATCGTTTTCCATGAATGTTATAAAGAATATAGATGCTAGAATTTGAGAGATTTAACTTAGGATCTTGGTTTTACAACTTAACTAGCTAAGTAATTTCTTATCTATGAGCTGTACTGATAGTACCAATTTATGGAGTGGTTGTGGAATTCCAATGAGATAATATGATTTAAAATTCTCATAACTCTAGGAAGGTGGTGGCATAGCTTTTCAGTCTGAGTCCCCCCAATAAAAAAAAAAAATTGCAAAACCAAAACCCATGGACAACACTTAAAACACAGCTTCAATAATAGAGTATGTAAATCCAAGGAGCAAACCATCGATTTGGAATATAAGGAAGCAAAAAATCCCCAATCAGAACAGCAAAAAGAAAAAAGAATCCAAAATAATGAGGATAGTGTAAGGAGCCTCTGAGACAACTTCAAGCGTGCCAACATTCGCATCTTGGGGGTGCCAGAAGGAGAAGAGAGAGAACAAGAAATCGAAAACCTGTTTGAAACAATAATGGCAGAAAACTTTCCTAACTTGGTGAAGGAAACAGACATACAAGTCCAGGAAGCACAGAGAGTCCCAAACAAGATGAACCCCAAGAGGCCCACACCAAGACACATCATCTTTGTGTCTTTGAATTAAGATTCAAAGAGAGAATCTTAAAAGCAGCAAGAGAAAGGCAGCTAGTTACCTACAAGGGAGTTCCCATTTGGCTGTCAGCTGATTTCTCAAAAGAAACTTTGCAGGCCAGAAGGGAGTGGCAAGGAATATTCAGAGTGATGAAAACCAAGAACCTACAACCAAAATTACTCTATCCTGCAAAGCTGTCATTTAGAATCGATGGACATATAAAAACTTTCCCAAACAAGAAAAAGTTAAAGGAGTTCATCACTACCAAACCGTTATTATATGAAATGATGAAGGGTCTTTTTGAAGAAAAAGATGAAATGTATGAACAAACAAAATGGCAATGAATACATATCTATCAACAATGGAATCTACAAACAAAATGAACAGGAAGAACAGAAACATTCTCATAGATACAGAGAACATTTTGTTGGTTGCCAGTTGGGAAGGGGGTTAGGGGAATGGGTGAAAAAGATGAAGGGATTAAGAAGCACAAATTCATTGCTAGACTGACAAACCTCAAAGGGAAAGGGGTTGGGGGGTGGGAAGAGATGAACCAAAGAACTTATATGCATAACCAATGGACACAGACAATAGTGTGGGAAAAGGTGGGAGGGGGGCGGGAGTGGGGAGGAGGGGGTCAATGGGGGAAAAATGTGGAACATGTGTAATACATTTTACATCCAACAATAAAGATTTGGAAAAACAAAAAACAAAACAAAAAAAAACTAGATGGTAAGTTGTCCCCATGAACCACAAAATGTAAGCAGGTAGGAACAAACCACCAGTCACAGGATCTGCATGCTATCAGGGTTTATGTGAGAGCAAGAAGACAGAAGCATTGAAGATGTTGCCTAATGGACCTGAGATCAGAAGAACCCCAAAAAGAGCTAATAAGAATTCAGTGGAAAGTGGGGTGGCTAATTTGGAAGGAGCAGCTAAGAATGGGAAGGGATTTCACCTGTCCAACATGAGATGAGTGCATTGGGTACATGGTAATGGGACTGAAGGTCTTGGAGAAGTTTAGCCCCTAAGAACTCTCAAAACTGACCTTCCAGGTCTTTTTAGAATAGTATTCTTTAATGGGCAGAAACTGCTGGTAGCAGAATAAAAAAAAAAAAAGATCAGGATAGGGAAATGAACAGATCCAGACTAAAGTTGAGGAAGACAACAGAGCTGTGAATCCTAGAAAGCAGTTATATTTTTTTAACACTACATAAAAACAATAGCAAAGAGCCCTATGACACTAGAGAAGCTTTCCTATACTCCACCTCATTCTAAAGTTTATGAAAAATAATTTCACATAAAAATGAACGGATGAAAAGTGCTAACGTCAAATCCTATACAAAGATGTTTTAAGGAAAAAGAGTAACATCCTTATAGACAGTAAAGGCATATCAGAAATTTGTTCACTAAACAGAAGTAAACAAACTAAAAGTAAACTATTTCAGAATGAGCTAAAGACATTAATAAAATAATATGACATTAAAGAATAACAAATCAGAATCAGAAAAACTCAGATGTGACAGAATTCTAGAAAGCATTTGAAATGGAAGAAAGTCATTTCAGTAATGAAGACTAAACTATAAAGAACATAACCAAATATATACAATAGTTAATGCTTTAAGAGAAAGGTGTTAAGAAAGTTGGAAATCTAAAGTGAAGAAAATGAAGATAAAGATTCAAAATTGACATACTAAAGTTAGGTAAAGGAGATCAAACACTGACAAATTCCTGAAAAGGAAAGGAATAAATACTAAAAACTAATTCAGAAGACTTCCCTGAAATTAATAAAGCTTTAAAACTACCTACTGAAATACCACTCTGCTTACCCAAGACTGTTGACCCAGAACAACCAACACCAGGATATTCTAGTAAAATGACTAGACCTTAAAGAAATAGAAGGACTTTTGATTATCTGTGTAAAAGAGCCTATGGAGTATAAAATAAATAAAATAATCATCAAAATTTACAGCAATGCTTCATGCTAGAAGAAAATGGAGTAGCATTTTAGATAATTAAATAATGTGTGAACCAAAGATTTTATAGTCAACTAAACTGATTTTTTAGCTTAATGGGCAATATAAGAATTCAGAGAATATTATTCACATGAGCCCTTCCTGAGGAATCTACTAAAGCTAATCTGTCAAGCCAGGTAATCAATCACTAGCTACATGTGACTATTAAAATTGCAATTAATTGTAACTAAATAAAATAAATCTTCAGTTACTTGGTCACATTAATGACATTCCAAGTGCTCAAAGCCACATGTGGCTGGTGGTTACATATAGGAAAGACAGATAGAAAATATTTCTGCCATTGCAGGAAGTTGTATTGGATGATCAACAGTGTATTAGGGAATGAGTTTAGACTTTTTAGATTGCTAAAATAATTAGGCACATCAACATAAGACCTCATGGTAAGTATTAAATATACATTTACCTATAGAATTAAGACAAAATGAGGGCTGGGAGGTTGAGAATATGCTATGTAATAGCCCTATGTTTGGACAATGTGGATATAGTATAGCTGTTTTTAAAAATTGGAGAAGTGAGAGACCATGTGTCAAGCATTTTTTATTGTTCTCAATCACATTTCAGACTCTCTTATCTAAATACTCAGATTGTTATTCTGAGACTATGTAGTGTTGGCTAAAACAAATTAATATTGGATATTCTAATTTTATCCTGTGTCCTTGCAAATCAGGAGTCTCAGTATGGAAGAAAAGTACTACAGATGTAATAAAGAGGCTAGGGAAAAGCTTTTATGGTCTCAAGTTTGAATTGGAATTATCAATATGAACTTGAGGTATCTTGTCTTTAAATACATTTTTGTATTTCCTAGCTCTGTTCACTGAAAAGGCCTACAGTGTATATCCTTAGCACTCAGTTTGTGGTATTGAAATCACATTTCTCACTTTTTATTTATTTATTTATTTATTTATTTTTTTTATCCTCACCCGAGGACATTTTTCCATTTTTTTGTTCAGATAGAGTGGGAGGGAGGGAGAGAGAGAGAGAGAGAAACATCGATGTGAAAGGGACACATCGAGTGGTCGCCACCCACACGACCCAACCAGGGCTGGGGACAAACTGCAACCGAGGTACGTGCCCTTAGCGGGAACCAAACCCAGGTCTCTCAGGACCGTAGGCCGACGCTCTAACCGCTGAGCCAAACCGGCCAGGGCACATTTCTCACTTTTTAAAAAAGCAAACAGCTTTGTCAAAGAATTGCTGATTCCAGGTCTGGAGGTCTGTGAAGGAAGTGTTCAATTTGAGCCTGGACCATCTTGTCATGCCAAATAGCAAGGAAGCTATCAAAGACTACTAGGGTCATGTCAAAAGGACTCAGGAGCCATTTTGAAGAGGTTCCCACTGGCTTAAGATGGAACAATTTGAGCCTCAACAGTGATAATTGCAAGAACATATTAAATATGTTTAATTTAAAAGTTCCTAATGATACTTTAAAATTGGTCACCTTAAAAGGATAAGAAACTAGTTTATTTTCTTGAAAACTGAAAAATAGAGTGAAAGAAATCAAGTGTTTATTTTTCCTTTCTTATATGAACTGTATTACTAGATAACCAAATAGATGAAGGAAAATGTTTCTATATATTAGTATTCTAATCATTGAAAAAGAAGTGGCAGAATATAATAATTTTGCAATCCTTATTAAATGGATGGGTATTAAACAGCAGTAGCTGCTAAGATTGCAAAGATAACAAGACATTACCTATAGATGTGCCAAAGGTATCAATTCTGAGTTTGATCCAGCCTCCTGGATTGAGCTGCCTATTTTTAGGAAACAGAATAACATGTTGAAATGCACCATGAGTGGGTATTCAGCAAAATTCAGACTGTGGGAAATTCAACAGGTCAAAGGGCCCAGATTCTTCCAAAGAAAAACAAACAAAATTACAGGGATGGAGAAAGGAGCAATAGATTAAAAGAAATTCAAGACATCAACTTTAAAAAAACTGTCTAGGGATGGACCTTTGAGTGACAGA